CCACTTACCGCTGGATAAGGACAGCATCTGAAAATAGTCCATACAACCTGCAAAAAGAGCCGCTTCTAAACCCAGCCAACTTGCAGGCTTATAGAGTGTACTGTTGGTGAAGTAGAGGTCGCAGGTGCCTGACGAGGGCCGGTCCAAGTTCTGGCGGTAGTAGTAGTCGGCCAAGTGAAAAATCCCATCAGCGGCGGCCTGCCGGCAGGTGTAGTTGTCCATGATCTCCAAGGGATGCACCACAAAACGCAGACCGCGCTGTGAATAGCGTTCGTTGGCATGCTGCACGGCCAGCTGCAGGGCGCCGCCCGTCCACACCAGTCCGATTGCCACGCTGGGCTCCCGAATCTGCAAACTGACCACCCGCACCTCCAGCATCGGTGCGGTGGTGACTGGCGGATCTGCATGGTTCTGGCTTCGGACAAGCCACTCCACTAACACGGCGAGTAAAGCAACGCTGCGAGCCGTATGCCGGTACAGATACATTACTCCACGCTAGGGTTGCAGGTTTTTGTAACGTTTAATAACCGAAAAATCTGGTAGACACTAGGCCCTTGTCAAAATGACCTGAGAATAAAAAAAAGCACTGCTAAAAAGTTAGAAAAATTCATGACCAGGCAAGACTTCGCGTTATACTTCTTAAGCCGTTACGTGTACGGTGCACTCCATCTATCGGTGGACAAAAGCGCCATCAGCTCGAGTCACCATGCTTTCGCCGCACCAGTGGCTCTGACTAAGCCCTCGCATGATTCTTTTTCAGATTTTTGTTAACCATTTAAATAGTTGTGCAATTTCCATGAGTGTTAAGCCCTGTGCTGCTTTGGAATCGATCTGACGAAAACTAGCTGTGAGAAGTTTAATACTAAAAAATAAGATCTGATGATGAGTTAATTTGAATTATGTTTCTGGAATCGCAAGCTTGTTGCGGTGTACGTAAAATGATACGAGGTCTTTCGGGATGGGTGGGTGCCAGTGTAAGTTTGTTCAAAGTATTTACATATTTGTATTCATATTATAATAATTATACGTTTTTATATTTATGTATTTTGTAACTGAATTATGCACAAAGTATGGAAATTGGTTACAGATTCTCCATACGCGGTTTAAAAACAAGCCGTATCACTATTCTACAGAGAATCTCATAGTGGTATATAGGCACTGCTACAGGGAACTGTGCAGATCCACCGGAAAAAGAAACTTCAAGAGAGCACTGTACACAATCCAACTTGCATTCCAGAAGTCCCACACAAATTAACTTAGCCTGATCCCTGACGCGGAATGCTCCTACTCACACCTAACTTGTACCGAACCGGCGAGAAATCGGAGCGCGAGCTTTTTCGTTAGTGTCGCAGTCAGCCGCCCGTGCTGACTGCTTTAGTTTCATTCGATTCAGTGAATGGTATGAAAATGCATACAGCGTGGAACTGGTGCACTGTAAAAAAATAGGATATCAAGAGTCGAGAGTACAGTAATTGTCAGACGACCTTAAGGGTGGGTTCTAATTTCGGGGGCGCCCGTATTGTGGGGGAAGGGAGCCTCTGATTCGATAATTACGGTATATCACAAAGTTAACTGCCCTTCGCTACGTGGCAGAGCATCTTCTAATCCTAAGATAAAGGACATATGACACGTTATACGTCGAGGTACAATAATACTTACCATTACATCTAGGCTGATCTAGCATTTTCTGGTTATGTACACAGTGCAAATAAGGATAAACTAAAGATCAGTGTATACCACATATAACAAGATGGATCAGACACTCATCCTCGCACGAAGATATTGGAAGGTCATATTTCAGGTCGTTGAATCAATTCACTATAATTCATAAATGAAACGGAGAAAACATCACACTACGCCCGTTTTAACGAGGAGCAAGAAAACACGCTTAAGAATCTCTCACTTTTAGGCTGGATGACAATAAAGTCATACCTTTTATGGCCACTGTGGGTGGACGTAACATCACGTCAGGCTGCCCAGAAATTCCCAACGATCCAATTATTATACTGTCACCGGTTAATTAATCCGCGTTTCCAGTGGGTGTAGTACAAACCAGCGAAAGAGGGGATCACATAAGCAGGGCAGAACATGTAGTGCTTCTTGTAATTACATATATAAAGTTACAAAATGCCAAAGTGGAACATATCTATATTCGGATAATCATTACGGCTAATATTCAACCGGATGTTATGCCACACAAAAGTACAGAATCCCAAGAGAAATACACAGATCAAAGAAGCATCTCGATGAGGTAATATTGAACGCTACGTGCTTCAGCAGTTCCTCGTACTTCCCAACTGCAGCAGGTGCAAACTGCATTATGACGTATTACTGGAGCGGCGGCTGCAAGGTAAACCACAGTCAGCCGCTACAGTACGCAATTGTGCAGTCTTGCTCGCAATACACTACCCGCTGCGTACGTATGTTGGGCTACGCATCCATATTGGAACCGCCAATGGCTGCAACTAGGCTATCTGAAATTATCGTTTCGGTGACCGGAAGATTGGGGAGGTTACCGGACATGTCGATTATCTTAGGCCTTTCCGATGCAGCATTTACGCTTATCAGTATTAGAGAAATGTAGGTTGTAGCTGATTTTTTATTTTATACCCGTCGATTCGCGGCCTCATGCCCTGAATGTCGTATTCAGAATTATTATGTTTTTTCCAGTGCTTAAACTGAATCAATTCCGGTTAGCGTCTTTCGGTAATAAAGCGAATAAGTTCGACTTCTCGTTGTTCGGAAAAATCCAGCTCTCACCATCAGTTAGGGTGCAGCGCATGGCTCAGACCGCTCAGTGACAAGGCAGAGCTCCGTATTTCACAGAGCGCTTGAGTTTAATTACCGACGCTTACGCTTTTCCGAAACAGAATTACCTTCCGAAGTTGGTCGGAGAGACTACCAGCGTTCGAAGGCGGTTCGGGCCGCAATTGGGTCAAGTCATTCCCCTTGAGGATTGGTCATCATCGCTGATCCTGTTTCGTAGGAGAGCCGGATTTTCTGTCGTTGGATCAAATAATCCGTGTAGCAAATCCATGGACAAAATATCCGAAAATTACCGAATTGCCCATTTTTCAAAATTCATAAGTTCTTTGCATTGGACTGAAGTAGGTTCAATAATTAAATCCTAAGAATTTGATTATAAGGGAAAATGCCTGTAGAAGTAACGGTCTCAGCGGATACACGTGTCTTTTTTACCGACTGCGGTAGGTCAGGGCAAGTGTTTACGAATTAAGCGCAATCGAAATGCGCCGACAAGGGGACAAGCACATCAGCAGCAGAAGACTATCTATCGTAAATCCTACATGAAATCGTACCAGCCATTCAGTGTCGCTACACAGTCGGAAAAGGAACCACAGCCAGATGCAGCACAAACTTTGATTCATCTTATTCCACTGGACTGCCGGGAGATGTCGAAGTTACAATGGAAAGTAATTACGATAATCCAAAAAGCCTGGAAACCAGCTAACCTGGAAGTGCGGCAGAAAATGAAGAATCGGTGGATGGGAAAGAGATCTACCAACGTAAGCGGATTCCTGCAGATGAAAGAACCATGATTAAATTGAATGCGGTGCTGTAAATGCATGCAGACACAATTATTTTGTTTTGCCGGATCGCGACAAAACACATCTACTACAAACTTTGTCTTTTTCTAGGCAGAAAAACGCTGATTTGTGGGTGGTTGTGATTCCTACTTCTGCCGAATGGGTAAACGTCGAAACAAATGTACCGATATGATCCATATATTTATTACTGATGGGGTGCAAAGATGATGCCGGTTGGAACAGATATAACTAAGGTAGGCGATGCTCGTGCAGGAAAAAGCACGGGAAAAAAGCGGGTTTGCCCTCCCGGTTGATTTCGAAGAAAGCTGGTGGGCGGATACACTCGTACTGATTCTGAGACAGTTCGCAAATCATTGCTGCACCGCACGAGCAGCTGTTCGGAAATTTTCAGGACGCTGCCTTTCAGCTGCTTTAGAAACACCGTATCCTTATGGCACGGTGCTAATCTGTGCATTTCAGCCGACAAAAACATGGAGGTTTCCGATTGCCAAAGAACAGATTACCGCTGCAACGAAACAAGAATTGCTGAACTTCCGCTGGCTGCTGTGCGCATGCGCTCATTGTGCAGAGTTATGTCAAAGCAGTCACGTGCACGGTGAAGGCATCGCGCAGGTGGCGCAGGATAAGGATGGGTAGGATTGAGGATGAACTGGATGACGACCAGGGAGATGGTAGCTTCAGCCGTCCGGGTGAGAGAGATTAGTCCAGATGGCTCCGGTTTAATTCGGTCTTCGGTTCAATTTGCAACCCAGTTTCCTTCAAATTTTCTTCTTCTTTCTTTACGACATAAAGACAAAAAAGGCTAAACTGGATCATGCAAGCAGTGCCCTACAGACAGCAAGCGCCTGGACGGCGTTACCCGGACACAGTGGGGAGAGAGGACTTCCGTACATTACAAGTAATTCTAATAAGCGGTTGGTGGATGATATAATATTATACGGGCTATAACCTGTGTTCGCATCAATGGCCTCATCGTAGCGATGGCCACTGTACTGGGTGGTGCCAAAAATCCATGTGCTTCGTTTGAAATTTGTGATTTAGCAGGTAAAATATTTTTTTATTAGGGGTGACCTGACACCATTTTATGCTCGTACAGTCGTACGCAATCAGTCATAGCAAATAATGTACCAACGTAAAATTTAATGTGTATACCAATAGAGTACTTAACTTTAATCCGTGAGGTGCGGTTTAACTGTTGACATTAACTTTGAAAGAAATAGGTAAGTCAATAACAACTGTAGCCTTAACACTAGCGAAACTAGGAATAATTTGCTCTATAATTCCTGCCTGTGCCCGCGCCTTGCTCCAAGGCGTTCGTTAAAATCTTCAGCGTACAATCAGTCCATTAAAATGCAAAAAGCAAAATAATTGCGGCCTGCGTAGGTGGTGTTTTGGCTAGGTACAGAGTAGGCGCATGAGCTGATCTGCTCAGTCTGTACCATCATTATCCGAGGACACCCATCGTCCGATTTGCTTATGAATCAGCCGGCTGTTGCTGTAACGTTATTGGTATATGTTCTATGCATGTGTCAGTGTCCTTAACATTTTCTGTGCCAATGTGAAGACGGTGGGCAGCGGCGTCGACACACAGCTGACATCGTCTCTTACGAGCAACATCCGGAATTGAAGGAGTTCTGTGCTAATATAATCCCATCGTTGTGCTAAGTTTCTTCCGCTCTTTGTTGTCTCTGGGCTGATAGACATTAGGCATACGCGTGTCTTCCCAGACAAGCGAAATTCACTTGTGGCCGACATTGGTAGTGGGAGATTTTCCCGGGAGGATTGTACACGGCCTTCCTGTTCCAGTTTAGCTGCACGGGCATGTAGCCAGCTGGATTGATTCGAGATTTGATCATATCGTACCGAAATAATTTCCTTAGATAATACTTTAACTGGAGCGGCTCTGCTCTGCGATTTTGCTCGTCCAAAGGTGGAAATTGCTGAGTTCAGTTAGATCGCGGAAAATGGCATCGACTGCGTATATTCTGGTAATCCTTGCCCTGTTGGTCGCCAGTGAAGTTAGCCGAGGCGCAGCTGTTCTCCAGGCTAACCGGGATATTGCTAAGGTAAGGATCAGCTCTTCAGCTCTTTCATGCACAAATGGTCACACGACGATACGAACAAGGGTTGCAAAGTATAGTTTCTCATTCAGCCCATATACATGTTGGAACATTGTTCGTTTGTAGTTTCACATTTACAAAATGCTTCCTGCCGGCGTGAATATTATAAATGCGATTAGAATAAAGACATGCAAGTGACCACTGACCACCTATGTTAAGTGAATGGGCGACTTAATTAATACTAACAGCGATGAAGCTTAATTAATACAGGTGCCCACTTGAAAGTCTTTACGGGTAGAAAGCCACTTCTCTGAATTGCAGCATGTAGGCGCGGCAGAAACTTACAAAAAGACAAAATTAAGGAAAGCAATCTGGTAAAAATATTATCGCTCTTTCGTTTATGGCGGCACTGGGAGAGATGATTCGGAAGCAGGCTCAGATAAACGAATAACGCACCAATTCCATGGTCTTCAGTCTTTTCTAATTCCGTCTCATGGTATGTATGTTATGTCTGTAATAACAATTCGAAATTTGTATTATTTACCGATATCGATCAAACACAGAAATCAGAAACTGGATTGACTCAACTTGTTTTGTGCCCATGCCATAACTCTCTTCGCAAAGACGAGGAAGCAAATATCGGCCAGTTTCTATAATTTATGCCCGTACCAAAAGCCATCAGCTGTCTTTTTCCCATGTGCCAAGTATCGTTATGCTAGATCAACAAAGTTCAAAAATTTATTGTTCTATTTGGACAGCAGCAGCAAACTACACAATCAGAACCTATAAGTACACATATCCAGTACGTGCATAACAGTATCCAAAAAACTGCACAGCAGTTGTTGTTGCTTTACTCCATCTTTATAGAGCACAAGCTCCTTCGGTTAGCGAAAGAAACAGTTTCACCGCGAAAAATAATTTCCATAGGCAAATCGGCCGAAATTAAGTACGTAGTCTTCATTTGAGTTCTGGAATACCAAGCGACCAGTTAAAGATGACGCACATCGCCACGATTTTAATTATTGTTGTTGCAATGCTGACTCCTTGATGTGTGATTCAGCTATAACAGTGCGCTGAAATTAAGTAAAAAAAAATCTGAATGACGTGCAGCAACATGCCTGACTCTATATATATCGGGTTGGGTTTCTTGTTGACAGGCGGTGCAGAAACGCAGTGTGCTTGGCAACATTCCGCCATGGATGAAGTTGCTCCTTAACATGCGCCCCGACGTCCCGGAGACGCCGGCAGCCGATGCTGTCTCGGTTATCAGCACCTCCGACCACGAAGGTGCGGTTAGTGTGAATGTGACCATAGTGAACGGGCACTGCAGCGCATGCGAATTACTTCCATGTTTCCTAATTCTGCCCCTATGTAATTTCACAGACGCACCCGTTCAACCTCCTCCTGCCGCGGCCGCGCTGACGCCCTACTTCCGTCCACGCACCAACCACTGTTATTTCCACACCGTATCCTGCTTCGGCCGGCGACCCTCGCGACTCTTTCCCAGTAGCGGGCGGCGCTGATGGGATCCGTAAAAGAAAATGAGAGTACACTGAGTGTACTCTCATTTTGCTTAACTTTGTTCACCGCCCCTCGTAGTTCTCATGGCAACCTTTGGGCATGGATAAGGTTGTAGCGTCCTTGCAGAAAAGTGTTTTCAGGCACCCGGGTATCATCAAATAAGAGAAAGCTAAAGAAAGTCAATAACTATGTTGAAGCGGTAATTCTTCCAGCCAAAACGTTTCATTTCCACCGCGGCCCTGCAAAACTACGTCACGTACCTCATTTCAATCTTCGAAGCGGAGATCAGTACATGCTCTGGGCAAGCTCGCCCCGTAACATTTATAGCTCCCGCATAACACAACGAAATTATTACAAATTCACGGGCTAGCGACAAACTCAAACTACGGGCTCGCCATGAGTCGCACGAGTTATGATCTACAAGTGCAGTCAGTATTTAGCATGGCTGACACATGCAAGCTTCGATCCCAATTGGAAACTGGTGACCCGCCATTTCGTCGACGAAAATTCGTGTACCGTCACGAGGGCAACAGCTGTACAGAGTCTGTAATTGCTTACATATATTTTATTGGCACAAGCCAGCTACAGTACACAAGTTTTGTGACAAAAAAAAGAATTACATTATCAAAATATTTCCTAATTATCCGGCATTGCCTCGCTGGATTTCGATCTACAGACGTTGGCAAGAATTCATGCGAGTGATTTTCAACCGGCAGTCGTAACTGGAAACGAGCGTACTGATAAAGCGTCTTTGTTGAATGTACATGTAAAAGCTGGTCACGTACTTTCTGTGGTAGTTTGGTCTTTTGGGGGAAAAGGAAAAGTCTCTGTACTGATTTTATGTAACCGTTGCCAACGTTAAGTTACCTATGGCCGTGGGAAACTCTTAACACGTCGTAAGGATAACTTTTTAATACGGCATTTACGGAAAACATTACAGTCGCGTTCGTCTCTAAATGAAATGTCTCCAAATGAAGATTTCCTCATGGTAAACGTTTCGGCAAGACATTTCTTAACAACGCGGAGTTTGCGCATTATGTGCTATACAGAGTAAGCACGTACTGGAAATTAGTCCGGAAAGCAATGTCAGAAAACCCGCAAAGTCTCGTAGACTCGCGCCGCTGACGGTGATGGAAGTACATCCAAATCGGCCAGTATTTTGTTTGGGGTTCAAATCTTTAATAACAGAGTATATACGAAGGTAAAAGTCTCATACACCTCCTATAAATATTGGGTTTTTATCATTCACGCAGATTGATACTTACATCTTCAATGATTAATAAATATAATTTTCTTAGTAAAAGTCCTTAAATACAAATATGACGTAAATACAAGTTATTTCAATAACGATAATGTAATTTGGCAAGAATGTCAACGGGCACGTCACCTTTTGTTATGTGACACCATGTATATACACTGGCAATGCAAATAGTTCACGGCAAAAAATGGGCTGAAAACAATTAGATGAACACTTTCTTAGCAAAATGATGCACCACGCGCTGGTGCAGTCTAGCGATAATGCAGCACCACAGCGGCCCCAACAGCAGCACGGCCGCCACGCGGTACGCGTTCAGCGAGAAAACCCGTTGGACTTGGTATTGACCACAATCTCCTTCGCCACGCCCTCCACATCCACCACCTCATCCAGCTCGTACTTGCGATCCTGGCTGCGGTTCATCGCCACGAATCCCTCCTTCTGCTGGGCAAATGCCGTTCGCGTGTTCTTGTCGCCCAGCACATAGTCAATGGACATGGTGACGGTGAAGAAGCCTTCGGAGTCGAACGGTTTCACGCTGTCGGAGGAGACGTTCTCCCAGCGTCGGAAATCGAAGTCCTGCTCGCCCGTCCACGTGGTGACGCGCTCCTGGTGGCGCTCCGAGAAGGGGAGCGGGTGCCGCGCGTCACGGTAACGGTGCGGTCGTCGTCGTGGTAGCATTTCATGCGCCACGTTATGCGGGGACGGCCTGAAAGTAAAGTACAGTTGAAGAACGGAAATACAGACATTAATATTATACTTCGACACTTTTTGCATTGCGGTCATTTTCACAATTTGCATTCGCGTACCGCATACCAGTGGCTAGAAACCTTGACGATTTTCTATTTTCTCTCAATTTCGTGTATATAAACTATAATGATGTATCATTTTAGTCAGTCTGTGGTTTCGTCTTGTGGAACAGCGCGGAGAATACCGTGTCTCTGGTGTCTGCATGGTACGCGAATCCATATTGTGAAAATGTCCGGAATGCGAAAAGCGTTAAGGAATGTAATTGCGGACAAACTTACCGCTTTTAATATAATTTTACTTTACATTATAGTCTAAGGTTGAACAGTCCCGCATTCTCACCGTATTTCAATGGAAAATACGTATATGCCCGATCTATTCCACAAATTCAGCATAGTTGTAGCATTTTTTAGTTTTCCTTAATTTATTTCCGGATGACCAAAGTTAATGTAATCACAATCTCTTCACGTTTTATCATTTATTTCAGTACCGAAACAGCACACCGTTTCTTACTTTGAGCAGCTCGTTGGACATAATCCAGAAATTCCTCTTTGGACACCGCTTTCAGGAGCATCTTGTAGGTCTTACTCCAGTTAAGAACCATCGGTAAATACACGCAATAACTGATGAACAGTATCCCGTATCCGGATAGCGCGCGCCGCAGCTGGAACGGTCTCCATAGGACCAGCGACAGACCGCAGATGGGGACGAGGAGCATGCCACAATAGATCAAGATGACCAACCACCTTTTCCGCGTACATCCCTGTGGGCCGGAGGCTGATCCTTCGCTGGTTGTGTCGGCCGCGGTTCGCGCCGTAATTTCAACGGCGGACGTCCCGACCATGGGAATGCGGGTCTCATCTCCGGAGACGGCTTCATTGTAATCCGGAGGCTCGTCGTGGTGTGAAGGAGCACTGGCCAGCGGAAATTTCTCGGTCATCGTTTTACAGACTGGTGAGATGTACAAATTAAATAACTGGAGATTTCGCGTACTATCCAAATATATCAGATATTATTTAAATTGGCAATTGCACAAGCCGCAATTCCTGTGGTGTTTGTACACATCTATGTATGGTAATTATAGGAACCATCTCTTGAATTGCAGGTGATGTACGGACATTCTCCCGGCGTGATGGAAATAAAGGATTGTTGAATAATTTGGTGAGGCGTGCAATTTTAATGGCTGGAATGATAAAACACGCATTCCAGATCAAAATTATTAGCGTTGAGGTAAGGACTATGGGACGTTGATGCAGCGAACTCGCAGCTGTGTCAGCATGCTGCTCATGCTTTCAACCGATCGATTTATTGATGACCCTGGCGAGTGTCTATACTGACTGTACATAGTGATCGTACAGGAAGCTGCCGTTACCACGGCGTGTATTTACGCTGAATCGTTTATTTTATACTCGTACTTTGTACTGTACTGAAACTGAATGATTATTATGCCGCTATCCCGGTAACAAAGATTTAAGGGATTTGGCCCGGTACATAGCACCAAATTCGTGTAGACACACGGAAACTTTCGCTGTCGCCCACTCCCAAACACTTTTCTGCATTGCTTTATGATATTTTTAAGGAACGAAGATCCACGGAAAAAGGAATTCCACGGTGGAATTCCGTTTTCCAAATCCGCGATCCAGGCGACCTGCTTGGATTTGGAAAACGGAATTTAGGAAATCCGTGGAATTCCGCTTTCCGAATGGAAATCCAAATTTGTGTATTTGGATTTCCAAACGTACGAAAACTTCCGAAATTATCGAAACTAAGCCGGCAGCTTCTCACTTTTTTCACATTTTTGCCATAAAACCCCTGTCAGTTTCAGCAGTTTTCAATTTTCTTTGGCGGCATGAAAACAAAACGTAATGCACTGTTTATATTGCTACAACAAAAATTCCAGCGCACTAGCATTTAATGAGTGCAAAAATGCTCACTGTCTCCCACCCGGTACTAATGATTAGGTATGTAACGCACTAATAATAATTTTGAAAACATTAATGCTACTGTATATGATTTTATCTATCACTTACATACAAGATCCCGAAGCCGATCAGTTGAATGAGAGCCTTTTGTTATGACAGTGTTGTTTTTTTTACCGTAACTAACTTATTCTTATGTTGAAAAACGAAAGTGCGAATACAATAAGGTGCTGTAACAAACCAAAATGGCATACGAGGTTGAAATTTGCATGCTAATATGGAATCTAGGACATAAACGAACTACTTTCGTTTTAAAAATTAACATTAGATTTTAAGTTATATTTTATTAAGGTTTTTCACTTTTCAACTGTTTTATTTCAGTAATTAGTATTTTTGTAAATACTCTAACAAGCCAGCTACGTAAATTTGTAATAAGTCGGTAATAAACTTCAATGTTTCCACAAGTACAGTAAAACCGGTTTCGTGGTCTGGCAAAAAACGGTACTTTGCAGTTGAATCATGCTTGAAACTATGAATCTGCAGCGATCAACTAGACGGCATTAACTGAAATGGTGTTTAATTGGTAGCCGAGTTACGCTGGATAGCTATCTGCGGGAAAACAAAGCTAAAAAATGGTATTCCAGCGAAAATTGTAAAATCCTTGGATTTACGGAAATCCATTTGGATTTCCGTAAATCCACGGAATCCATGGAAATCCATGGCAATTTCCTTTCCAAATCCTTTCCACGGGCCCGAACCCGTGGAAATTCGTTCCTTAGATATTTTGTAACCAAAAGATTTGTATACATAGGCGTGAGATCCGTTTTTGCGCGCAACATCCGGTTGCGGCGTTATGAGGGTAACAATATTCCAGAAGTTTAAATGCATTCAGGTGTACCAAAAGTCTCATTATGGACCGATCCCTTTCAAATTTTGCATGTAAATGCGCATAACCATGAAGATCGTTTTTACACCGATCCACTGTTCTAGGATGTCTTTCAAATTTTAAACTGAATTTCAAAAAGTTTAAAATTCATTTTAAAATTTGAAAAAAATCGTGGAAGTCTGGATCCGTGTAAGAACGATCTTCATGGGTTATGCGCATTTACATGCAAAATTGAAAAGAAATCGGTCCATAATGAGACTTTTGGTACACCTGAATGCATTAAAACTTTTTGGAATATTTTTACCCCCATAACTCCGCAGCCGGATGTTGCGCGCAAAAACGGATTTTACGCCTGTGTATACAAATCATTTGGCTACACAATATCAAAAGCAACCCAAAAAAGTATTTTGAAGTGCGCGAAAGCGAATACACCTGTCAATGGATGGAGTCGAAAAGTTAATTGAACTCTTTCTTGTTGTGACAATTAAGCTTTTCTCACGGTTTGGCTAACTTCTGAGTTCTGAATGTTTCTTGATTTGTACTCTGCCGTCGTTTACAAATAAAAGTAGAACATTCCTGTCAATGTACATGAATTCAGTGCTATGTACCGGGCCAAATCCCTTAATACGATTGGGCATCCAAATTGTCTTTAACCATCGCAATTTTTTTAAAAATTCGAGTCATTTAACCAGCTCCCATCAAGCATACAATATTTATATGACATTGTACTTACAAGTTCAAGTACATTGGTCTTTGCTGTATTAAAGCGAAACGTTAGCTTGTGCAAGCAGTCCTAATAAAATGGTTGTAAAATTCAAATGAATAATTAATATTCTTCCAGATAACGGGTTATCAATATCAGTCTTTCACAATTTACATGCGGCACACTAAAGCATGTAAAATATTCTGTAATCTGTGCAGGTAATTGGAATAACAGAATCTAAAACAAACCTAAAGTTTATGGCCGATACAATTATTGTGTAAATATCGACGTGTTTGTCTTTTGGAAAAGCGGACCGATTACATAGCGTAATGTCAATCGCCGACCGGCTTGACGTCCGTTATAATTGTCGAACATTAAATAGTCATAATAGTCAGCGGAAATGCCGGCATCCTTGGTATTGTGATATGCATTATCAAAACCATCGCTGCAGACGGATCTGAATTATTCGGTACCGGTATTTAAAGGTAATTCATGCGCATCTGATTTTAACTGGGCACATCCGAAATGCTAGTATAATCAGTATACTTGTTTATTCGGGGGTTGTACAAAGTAAGCTTTTGCCATGAGCAGACATGGTTATAAGCTGTCTGCTACCCACGTTTTCCATTATTAAAACTTCCAAGTTACCCGGCACATTGAACCAAATTCGTGTACAACCCACGAGAAGTTTCGCTTCTGAGCACTTCCAGACATTATTTTTGGATGGCATTTAGCATTGTGCAGCCAAATGATTTTTATACGTAGCAGCGTAGGAGAGAAATCCTTTTGTGCGTGCAACATCCAGTTGCAGGCTGCAGAGGAATGAGGGTAACAAAATTCCAGCAAAATTAAATGCATTCAAGTATAACAAAGTCTCATAATCAACCGGTCGTCTTTAAATTTTGCCAGTAAATTCCTATAACTACGCAGATCGATCTCACACCGAAGTGCCCGAACCATGTGGCACCAACACAATATTCGAATTTTAAACTAATTTGTCAAAATTGTAGAATGAATTTTTTTAAAAAAACTGATAGAATTCTGGATCGGTATAAGAACGATTTTGCCGGTAAAAACGTCTTACATGAATAGAATCTTCTCCAATTTTTTCCACTGGCAAATTCACTTAACGTCCAACGATCAAAACATATAAAACATATACGTGAAATAAAATCAAAACATAAAAACAGAGTGACAATGCCACACATTTTGCTTTTGGAATGATTTATGGCGCAGAGAAAGGTCAGCCGCAACACCATGCACTACAGCGTGTGAATCAGACTCTGGTGCACCAGCCACCGCCGATGCCATCGCTTCCACGCGGTTAACACCGACTGGCGGATCTCCTTGAAGAGCGTAAACAGGACCACCTAATTACGAAGCAATTTTCTCCCAAATAACAGTCATTACGCGCTACCATAATAACGCAAATTAGCGGCAATCTACGTGCCGGTGAATCTACAGAATACCTTACCGTGTTAATCACATAGGGTGTCGTGAAAATGAACGACAAGAACAGCTCCAACGCGGCGCTGCGCTGCTCCTCCGCGACCGCACTATAGATTCCCGACGGAATCAGGTAGAACATCAGAAACGAGAAGTACAGTAACACCCGCCCGGCGATGCCGTTGCCGGCGTTGGGCGCGATCTTGACCCGCCGGCGGCGTTTCAACGACACGCGCTGCAGCAGCTCCCGCTTGGTCTTGCGGACTTTCAGAATAATCAATAAATAGAAGAGGGCGACCAAGGCGAAGGGGACGTAGATCCCAATGAACGGCAGCCAGAACGCCAGCGGACACTCCCGGCGACAACACCAGGCGTGCCACGGACTGGCCGCACAACAATCATCCCGGCTGTGCACCGGGAGGTTCACCGCCACCGGGATCATCCAACTTAGAGCCACTTTTACGTACAGCCATTTCCGCTGCCGGCACAGCGCGGCGCGCTGTAGAAAGACGTTGAACAGTCGGTGCAGCGCCAGGAATAGCCAACTCCAGTATGTGGCGTGTAGGTTCACCAGGAACATGTAGTGGGCGTAGTGGGCGATTTCCGGGATGACTTCCGGGTGTTCTTCGATGTGGATGAGATAGACGAGGACTGCGCGTACCGGCATACTCACCGTGGTCATCAGGAGGTTTGTTGAAAAGTAGTTAAAAATTAAAATCCCGGCGGATGTCCGCAGGAAAGTGGTGGCGAAAAACAGGGAAATGTAGATGGAGTGTACAAGGATACTTAGTACGCAAGCAACTAAGATCGCAATAAACCACACTTGGACATAGTAGCCGGCGTTCCCGGATGTTGTCCAGAAAACCGGGAAGATGTTACAGGAACAGTTCATCCTCGGGAGGAACAGTATCCAGCGCTTAAACTGATCATTAAAATTGTAAGCACTAATGGAGATTATAACCGCACTTGGATAAAGTAACTGGCTTCCCCGGACGTGGTCCAGAAAACCGGGAAGATGTCACAGGAACAGCTCATTCTCGCGATGGGAAGACGAAGTGTCTCTTCGTTATTTCACGCGGATGGTGGAGATTATAAACACACTGCCTGCTTCTAATCGCAGCTCAATAAAGGTTAGACAAATATAATGACACATTGGAGGAACACAGGACGTCATGTGGCCGCCCTTACCAGCCGCGCATGTGTCGGGGAATAACGTCATTAAGGCCCCGCCGCCGATTAGGAATTAGCGGTAAATCCGCGCAGCAGTATTGTACTGTGCAATGTCGAGTTGGGTTTGAAAGTCACGCTCGCCCGACAGCGATGATTGCGCAATGCCGGTGATTAGCTGCGATCAATATCGACTGTAGTGTAAAGCACCTGGGTCATGTGTCTCCCGTCTGCGCACCGCGGTGATGCGGGAATTGAGACAATCAGGAGAGCACGGTGTGCGCGATAAGGATAATAATGTGTACTTTCTACGTGTTGCTTTGAGTGCGATTTTGACAGATGTGGCCTTGACTCTGGGGACAATCAACGGTTCGATCAATACGGTTTTACACTGTGTTTTTATACTTCCCTATCGGAAGTTCATTCGCACTTTATGAAAGTGGCGATACTTGTAAATTCGACGGAAACGTGATCGCGGTTTTTAGTGGCGTTTTATGCTTTTCGATTTTTCCTGTTTAATCAATTTATGTTAATCAGGATGACAAGTGTCCCATTTTCGAGGGAAAGAGTAGAAATCGGCCAGTCGGTCCGCGGTGTAAATATTCAATCGATAAACAGTGTGCAAGCGGAACACAACCAGTACGCAGCACACCGTCAGCACTGTGTTCGAACAGAGAACTCCACGTCTCCAGTTCCACGTTTTTTCGTCACGTTTGTTACTTACTGTACATGTTTCCTGTACCCGTCATCATTATTCACACGCCACTTTCTCAAGCGTAACTGCTTCGTTAAAAGCCTTTAATTGACAAGTATTCCACGCGATGCAGCGCCTATTTGAAATGCATGAGAATTTTAAATCAACATTCCGCTGTTCGCCATTGATGCAGATCATGCGGGTACAGATTCCGCCGGCGCATAAATAATCGAGTTACGTAACCCTGTCTGCCGTATTCATGTTCAAACATGCACGGATATTAAAAGAGAAAGAGAGAGAGAGAGAGCGACCGTGAACGCCGCTCTCTCGTACACACACGTCAGCTAAAAATCCCATAGAACACATCGCACATTGCTGCAGAGCAGACAGAGAGAAAGAGAAACCGGTCTCTGTCTGGCTGATTGAGACTGCAATTCACAGACCGTCTATCAACACACGCTGGTTCGTTTTACATCCCCCGTGCATCCCCAGTATCCTGTTTATCCACAAACAACCCATCCCCGAAAATGCCGCTGGATTTTCTGAATAAACTGGGCATCAGGCCGCCGCCGTTGAACGTGCGGACACTGCAGGGGATGGGCCGCGATCTGGGCTTGTTCAACCAGTCATCGCTGCATAAAAAGCAGACGTACGTTGCGTTGAAGCAGCAGTGTCTGCAGTCGGGAACGCTTTTTGAAGATCAGGAGTTCCGTTGCGAGGCGGCGTCGTTGTTCTATACCAATAATCACAAAATCCCGGTTAATGCTGTCCAGTGGCTGCGGCCTAAGGTAGGCTGCTATTGCGTCTGAATAACTTTTCCTTTTTAAGCATCGGATTCAGTGTCTGCAATGACGTCATTTTAGCCGATTTACGCTTCACCTGAACAAGCGAATGAAACAGCAGAGATGCTGTTAACACGATTGATGATTTTTCTGTTTATATTTTTAGGAAATCAATCCCAACGCCAAGCTGGTTCGCAGCAGCGGCCAATCGCCGGACGGGACCGGCCGCACTGACCAGTTAGGCCGCGACGTTAGCCAAGGACAGATAGGCAACTGCTGGTTCGTGGCGGCCTGCTCCGTTCTGGCTGAATTCCCCAAACTGTGGCGTGCCGTAAGTGCTACAGAATAAGTGGCATCATTCTGTGTCTTTTATGGTTGAACGGGGTGCAGGTGATTCCCGATCATCCGGAGCAGGAAATCCAAGGCGGTACTAGCGCTGGCTACGCAGGCATCTTCCACTTCCGCTTCTGGCGGTTTGGCGAGTGGACGGATGTCGTGGTGGACGACCGGCTGCCGTGTCTCAACGGGCAGCTCATCTTCTGCAAGAGCAAACAAGGGGATGAGTTCTGGGGATCGCTGCTGGAGAAGGCTTATGCGAAGTGAGTACAGTACATTCCTTGACACACTACCCGCAACAACAAAATTTGATGCAGTTGTCCGAACCTGCGCATTTGTATGTATGCAGTAGTCAGTACGTAGGTGTTACGTTGGTCGTGGCTACGTTCTTTTATATGGTTTTCTGCGGCAAATGCACTTGTGTCAGAAAAGTGCGATGCCACCGCTTCCTGTGTGCAAAATTGGTTCTCTTCTTGGAATAGGTTAAATGGCTGCTACGAAGCACTGGACGGTAAGCGTCACATTATCCAAAAATTATCCACATGGACGGCAAACAGGAAACGTTCTTTTCATAGGAGGAAACCTAACGGATGCCTTGGTGGACTTTACGGGTGGAATGGCGGAGAGTGCCGACTTGAAGACGGAATACCAGGGCCCAGACCAGCAGGCGGCGCTGTACAGTCTCATGGAGAAGGAGCTGCAGTTTAACGGGCTCATGTGTGCCGCCGTCGCCGTAAGTGCTTCTCGCCTCGATCCCTGCATAACGAACGATTTGGATAGTATGACGTGCAGACTAGAATGTTTTCATAGATTTATTCGCGGGATGAGATGGAAGCGGTACTGCAGAACGGACTGGTCAAAGGTCACGCGTACGGCATAACCAATCTGAAGACGGTGAAGAACAGCGAAGTCCCGGGGTTGTTGTCGTTTCTGGGGATGGGCGGGGGGACGGCGGTGCGGTTGGTACGGCTGCGGAATCCCTGGGGACGGAAAGAGTGGAATGGACGGTTCAGTGACGGGTAAGACCATGCATTTGGTAGATTGTAACGAATGCTTAATGCTGCTCTTCATTCGGACCTACCAAACAGCTGCAGAAATTGTTAATTATGCTCCTGCAGTCGCTTTCATCGTAATGCTACACATATGTATTTAGTATAGGCGCTTCGAAACCACATTTTTAAAATTCAGTGTAATGGAATAAATGGTCAAACGTTTTTTCGAATCATTTCTGTTGTAACAGTAAGATACAGTATCTGTAAGAACGTTTGACAGCGCATGGCTGGTTGTATGGAAACAGAGTTAACATTTATTTTGTTTTTAACGATTTTAGTTCTGCCTCCAGTAGCATAGCTCATATAATTTTGCCCATCCGAGAAAAAATAAATTTCTCAAAAGTTGTAAACGTTAGATACATAATTTTGGTCAGAATAAACGTGTCAGTCTGTGGTCAACGCTGATCGCCCTTTTGGTGGATGGTCGGTATCTGCCACCGCACTACATTTCGAGCACTATTTTTATGTAAACAGTATCGGTTGAAAAATTATAACATTACAGTAATATTATATACAGATACTACAGTGATAGTCTCGTTTCAAAATTGGTAGATTAATAGATTTACTGTTGTACATATTTTTAATTGCCAATTGTGATCCGAATATAAACTATGAATATTTAATAATAATATTAACAATAACGATAAAATTATGAATAATTTATTATTTACATACTGTTAAATTTGTTTATTTATTTTTCCACAGTTTGTGGTGCAGTACTGAAATTTCTACTCAATAACAAAGCACCCACTGGTAATACAAGTTGAAAGAAAACACAGGTAGAGAAATATGTGTATGAAGTACAGCAATATGACATTGTTTATTTTGGTGTTTAAGATAACGTTGCAGCACAGGATTATAATTCGTTAATAAATTCCGTTATATCCGCGGCACAGAGTTAAAGATAAAACCACGAAACGCTCTTTTACTAAGAGCACCCATCGACGTAACGAAAAGCTTGCGCTGGTAATAATGATACTACAGAGTTGTATACCGGAAATGATCAGACGAAAGTTAAAGGTTATACTTGCATTGGCTATTGATGATACGCTGATGATATGGAATAATTGCTTTTCCGGCCTTACAGATCGGCCGAGTGGAACAACATCAGCCAGCAGAAACGGCAGGAGCTGGGGCTGGTGTTCGAGGATGACGGGGAGTTCTGGATGGCGTTCGATGATTTCTGCGAGCACTTCTCCAGCGTGTCCATCTGCCGCATCATCCACACCAGCATCATCGGGACGATTATGAGCGGCGGCGCCAAGAACTGGAGTGAGGGCGTGTTTAAGGGGGCCTGGAAGCAGCCCGACAAGGCCGGCGGCTGCGTCAACAACCGCGAGAGCTTCTTCAACAATCCCCAGGTACCGTTCGTGCTTAATGAAGTCCGGGCACAAAGGTCACTGCGCATTACGGAGCACCTTGGATAGTTTGTCCAACGGTTTGTCTGGCATAATAAAATTTAGTTAGATTTCCAAGCACGGTGTACCTTGAGCGCAGAACAGGTTCTTCGACTTTCATCGCATTCCGGACACTTTCATAATAAAGATCTGCGTACCGGACATCAGAGACAGCTCAGACAGGGTACAGTCTGTGCGCTGTTCCATACTTTACAGTTGTAAGAAAAAATGGCAGTTTTTATTAATGTCGTATGCAAGCGTGAGTAAAAATACTAATTATAACGAAATCAATTTTTGAAAGGTTGTTATGTGGAACAACGTGGCGATTTTCGATATCGTGTCTTTTGTGTCCGGTACGCGAATCCATATTGCCAATTATGCAAAATGTCTGAAATGCGTAAGAAGTCAAAACATGCATTACTGCTGAATGTAAAAGTATGCAGCGGCTTAAGGCGTGTTGTGTATAGAAGTACCGTTACTTTATTATACCTTTTAATATAGCTTTTCTGGTTTGTTCTTCTAGTTAGTCGCTCCTAGCGTAGCAAATGATGATGCCGTACTTATCTGTAATTGCATGAAGTGACAAGCGTCTTTCTCGCCATTATAGGGTGTGAATATAAATGTATCGTAGTGCAGTGGCCGCTTAGTTAGTACGCCGACATGTTTCCCGCGAGATTTACATAACGTTTCTTAAACCAATCAAAAGGATTTAACTGTTAGTGTGAACTTTTACCATTTTTATTTTTCTTATTAACTTGGTGTTTGTTAATTCAACGTGTTAGCCTAACAATAAAATCACTGTGAATTATGACTTATTAATTCTTTTAAAAAATTAGTTTTTCAAACTAACTTTTTTGGCATTGGCTGATATATATGGGCTATGTGGTATTTTAAAATTTTGTACATATTTTGCATCACTAATCACTATGTATTTCAGCACATATTAGTTCTCTAAGCGCTGAGATTTGCAATCATTTCCGGTGCTTCCGCTGTTTTGCTGTTCCGGGTAGTATGCGTATTTTTTAACGTTCACCTGAAATATTTGCTGTTGCTAGCCAAGTGACAAAATTTTCCTCCGATTATTTGCGTATTGTGTGACAAGACAGATTACTGTAGTTCGCTCACTGTATCGTGGGCGTGTGATGCATTCGACGTTTATTGTTGGTATATAAATAAGGCGCGTTGCAGTACCGGTTCGACGTGGCCACGGCGGACGAGCAGGTGCTGATCGGGCTGTCGCAGCCGGACAACCGGTACCTGCGCTCGGCGGGGCAGGGCAACTACCTGGCCATCGGGTTCTACGTGATGCGCATCGAGTGCAACCGCAAGACGCGGGTGCGGCTCTTCAAGGACAAGGCCGGCATGTCGCAGTACACGCCCGCCCGCACCGTCACGCTGCGGCTGAACCTCCGGCCGGGCCGCTACTGCATCATTCCCACCAGCTTCGAACCCGGCCAGGAGGGCAGCTTCCTCCTGCGCATCTACACCAGCTACGACTGCAATGCCGGGTAAGTGCTGATATACGGGCCAACGTTAGCCGAATTTGTAAATGCTTTTAATAAATTTTTATTTCTTTGCAATGCTACGTATTGACGCTACATAATGCTGTTTAATTACGCCACCAAGTAAAATGTCTAGGAAAAATTTGACATTTTTTTATTGATTACATTAACATCATTTTCGTAGATACAAAGTACGAGAAATTTAATTGAAATTATTTAAAACAGCAAAATAACCACACATAAGCATAATATTAAAACGCTGCTCTTAAAGCTTTAATATCTACGCAGATACGCCGCATCACCGAATGTTGTACTTCCTTTCACATAATTTATCCTGTACTGCTGTAAGATAATAATATCTATATTATTTTAAATTTATGCTTAACAATCGCTGTTCGTATACTGCAGTACAGTACGTGTAAGTAAGTACGTACACCTTTTTATTCCACAACTTGTCAATTAACCGCTTTTCTACCGGCTAGCATTAAGCGGAATTATCATACCGCGCCGGCAGAATAGCTTTATAAAAAATATTTATATAGCCGGTTTATTTTGCCGGGTGTGGAAAATATGGGAAACGTGCTATCAGCGCATTCGGCGCTGGTGATCGTTGTTGTCACGTTCCACACTTGTTTGTCGGGCCTTATACCGGGAAAAACCCCGGTGGCAACATTGTACACGGTGGCTGCTATAGCCGTGTTGGCAGCCGCAGTCAGCCGGCAGCGGTCATCGATCTCGCCAGCGCTGGTTTTAAATGCAGCATTGATAATATTAAATTTTAATAGCGCTTGTGTACTCGACTACTCGTACATATGTTGCAAAGTGCAAGTGGTTTAAATCGGTCGTACGTCCTTACGGTTGAATGAGAATGAGTTGAATGACCAATCGGCTCAACTCTATACGATCAGTAAAGCCGCTGGATCGTACAACGCCGCTATCGGCGGCGCCGTATGCAACCGGATGCCGCGCGATCGTACTGCTTCTTGTCGGCGTGCCGCGTACGTATTAAACCGAGTGCGGTGTATAAGCGTGTCTCGATCGACTGGGAATCTGCCCTGTGCACGGTATAATCGCTTATCGCTCCGTACCGATCGCAACCAAAACAAAACGGTACCTGGATATTCTCGCCGCTACATAAACCGAGCCTTTTTCCTCTTGGCTCCGTCTCATTTGGATTTTTCCAGTTTTGCATCTTCGTAATTTCTCGCAAGGCATTTTTCTTCGACATTTCTCAATAATCCAGCCAGAATGTATCGCAGCCAGTACGATCGTGATGATGACAGCAACCGCTGGGGAAACAACCGTGACCACAATGAGGTACGTGCATTCCTAAATTCCCAGTAATAATTTGCTTTCTGGTGGAGTTTCCCGTCAGGCTCTATAATCTCGGTGCTTTTGCAGCGCTCCCGTGGATACTCCCTAGGCGCCACGGATCGCCACGACCGCCAACGTAAGTAACAATTTTTATTTCCGCATTTTACATTAACTGCAAAGATTTGTTATACTTTGGTGGTATAATTTCCCTGTAGTTACTAATGCGCTAATAATGGTACAGTACCGGGACTTACTGTAACAGTCATAATATAGATTTAAAAATCGATTTATTGGCAGTACTTTCTTACGTATCGTTTGATGGGCAGGCGACACCTACGGACGCAGCTCGTACGGTCAAGGTCAGCAGGGATACGGCGCGGATCGTGACCGTTCCTGCGGCTACGGCGGGGATCACTACAACACGTCGCGCAGTGACTACGGCGCCCGCGGCGGTAACGGTGGCGACAGCTATCTGTCACGCGGCAATTACGGCGATCAATCGACTTCCCGGGGCGGTTACGGCGGCGACAGCCAGGGATTGCGCGGCAACTACGGCGCTGATTATTCTGCTACCTCTCGGGGCGGTTACGGCGGCGACAGCCAGGGATTGCGCGGCAACTACGGCGGTGATTATTCGGCGTCCCGGGGCGGTTACGGCGGCGACAGCTATACCTCGCGTGGCGACAACTACGGCCGTTCGTACGGGGGAGCGGAGCAGTACGGACGCGGGATCGGCGGGGGGAACGAGACGTACGGACGCCATCAGAGCGGCTACGGACAGGATTACGGACGCCAGGGCGGCTACGGCGGCGGCAGCAGCAGCTGGGACACCGGGCGCGGCAACCAGGGCAGCTACAGCCAGGGCATTCAAGGTCAGTGGAAATTTTTCAAGGTCACTGTTGTAACGTTGTTGACAACTTGCATGCAAATGGAAGAATTTTTTTTATAATTAATTCTGTAATAAAATGTTATTTCGACGGGATTAATGTTTCTTTGGTAAATAAATCTGTAAATTAACTTTAAATTAATTCCTTTTTTACAATTTATTCTGTTTGAAATTATCTCAACGGGAACCAATACTGATTTCCTTTTGTAAATAATTCTGTAAATTTAATTTGAATAAATTTCTGTTTTACAATTTAATCTGTTTTAAATTGTTGTAACGGTAACTGGTATTTTTTTTTAACAGTTTTCTGCACTTTCGCTCGAATTCGTTATTTTTTCTAGTAATAAATTCTGTAATAAAACCAGTAAATTATTTGTCATGTTTTGCTGGTTATTTTATTGCACGATTTATTAATTATGATTTACTGCCGTTTTTCCCATTTGAGTTTTTGTGACGCCGTTTTGCATGCAGTTGCAAAAATCCACGTCATAATATATTTTACGATTTGAAATTAATTCATGGATTTAGTAGATTAATTCCATCATTAAAAAACTGTCGGTTGTGGCAACGTACGATTTTGCTGAAAATTTAAAATTAATATCGCAAAAAATGTAGAATTAATTTCGCAGCAATTTTTCATGATTGGAGAAATTGATGAATATTTTTTTAATTGCAGGATACAGCCACAACCGCCACTGGTAGAGCGGATTTTCCTGGGTGAAGGAGTCTCGTTCCCGGCCCGGTTTCACCGGTTCCTCATATGGCGTCGTCATCGTTTTACCATGCTTGATCATGCGTTGTGCGGCTGAATTTTTTTTTACTAATTTCTGTTGCGTTTTGGCAGTTGGTTGACGGTAGAATTTACTAGTGTTCTCAATTGGTGACATTTTAATTTAATTGGACATTTTTTTGCTGAAGAGTTTTGCGCTTATAATTGACTTGTTTGGATCGATGTGATCGCCTAACTGTTGTCGAGAAGAAATTAAAATCAGTGTAATAAATCGTTGGAAAATAATTTTGTAAAATGCACATCTGTAAAAATACAGTAAGCTGAGAATAATGATTGCTAATAAATTGCGGAAAGCATTAAATAAAATGCAGCACCGTACCTGCTTAGTGAATACGCTATATTTGATACCAACACGGAGAAAGGATTTTTTTTTGTATGCACAGAAATTATGAGAATTTTCGCTTGGGTTCCTCCTCATCGGAGAAATTTAAATAAAAATATTTAATCAAAATATTTAATGAGAAATAATGCGTTTATTCAGGAACGAACGTTCCAACGTCCAATAGCGCTGTGCTGGTGCTTTTATCGCGAGTAGTTATTCAAACATATGGCAATAATCTATTATTATTTCCAATAAAAATCGGTTTAATAATGCATTGATCTGTTTAATATTTCAATAGTTTATTATTCAGTTGCAGTATATTTTCCCGTTTTTCTGTTTTATTTATTTTTATTCTTGATATTTATTTATTTTCGAATATGAAGATTTATAAATGTAGTTTTCTATATGATTTTGGGTTAGGTGTCTGGACACCGATTTACCGAAACAGAAGGTGCTGGGCGGACTGATTTCGGCCGGCAGCATCGAGGCGCAGTACCTGACGACGGTCAACATTCGGCAGGTGAACGGATTGGCGCCGGGCAAGAACAACTCCCTGCCCGATCCCTACGTGACGTTGGAATGCGAAGGACGCAACGCCAAGACGCCGGTCATCCGCAACAGCACCGACCCGGTGTTCGACGAAATGGCCCTCTTCTACCGCAAGTCCCTCAACACCCACATCAAACTGCAGGTTAACTAAAATTAACAGAAAATCATATGCGCAGTGAAATGAGCTTTACAACCAATTAATGAAATTTTGAGATGACAGTATTATTTACGGGTAATCAGAGCGAATAACACGCTCGGCGCATCGATACGTCTGCGTTGAATTAATCATATAACTTCAGAACAATTAAATTGTAAATCTTTTAAAATTATTGGATGTATGTATCACATAATTTCAATAATGGGTTATTTTGAAATTTCTTGTGAATTAACATTTTTAATAATTTTTAAAATATTCCTTGACTATTTCGTTATTAAATATTCGTATATACCTTGTATTTGTGCAGTTCAAAAATGATGTACGGCGTAAAACAGTTTTACTGCTGGTACTCGTTGTTAAATTTCTGCTAAAGATTTCGCGATAATTTATTTATACGGAAATATACCTCATAATAACAACTAATAATGCGTTATTTTTATTAACATTCCGATGTACTTGTACATTTACAATGGACGCCAAAATTGTCTTACACTTATGTAATCACAAAACTCGCGCAACCAAGCAGTTTTCTGTACTCAGACAGCCAAATTTTTGACTGGCCATCGGCCTGCTGACATTTACACTTGCACCTTGCGCATTTCCCAACGAAAACCATCGACCAATATCTCAAACGAATGAGGAAAAAATTTCAAGAATTTAGATACCAAACAAGGTGTTCTTTATAAGATCTAAGAGATAATCCAGGCATCCAAAGTTTCTCGTAAACATAGCATAGGATTTGCATCTGCGGTTTGGTTTCAGTTTTCACAAAAAATCGTGTGCTTTGTCTACGACAAACTAAAATGGCTCGATTTTCTCTTAGATCTCATGAAGAATGACCCGTTTGGTATCAAAATTATTGAAATTTTTTTGTCTTTCGTTTGAGATATCGCTTGATGGTTTTCGTTGGGAAATACGCCAGGAACAAGTGTTCGTATTCTTGCGCGCTTTCTGTTTATTGGTCATTTGGTCCTGGCCATTTATTTTTATTGGTCATTCGGTCCCGGACCGAATGTAAGAGAATTTTGGCTTCCATTGTAGGTAATCAATAGCAATCTGGTGAAGGACGTGGTGCTGGGCGAGTGCCTGCTGCCGGCCGACCAGCTGACCAACGGACAGCAGCTGCAGTTCCAGGTGCCGCTGCACGCCAAGGACAATCCCGGCGCCGCCGTGTCCGGCGTCGTCGTCGTCGAGATCGCCACGTATGACGACTTGTCGGCGGTGTAAACACCCGCTTGGAAGTTTTTCACGAACGCTTTTCACGTAGCTTGGCTTGCCGTTATTCTCTGGCTGTCGGTGTCATGGAAAAAATAATGTGATTATCAAATAGAGTTTTGCATTCACATGGTGACATGTTATTTTTTATTTACTTTATTTAATCTTGTGTACGACGTGGACATGACGGAATTTCTGAATTGCCATACTTTCTCATGTGTTGTTAAAGTGTTGTTATATTTTTGAGATAAAGTACTCGTATAAAATATCAGTTGTACTCGTATATACAATACGTGTACCCACAACAGTAAATAGAAAGATGTATTAAGTGAAATAAATATGTAGTAAATATGTTTGTATATATGCCGCTTTTCTGGCAGCCAATAACTCGTGTAGCGTATTATTATTATTATTATTTATCTAAAAATTTAAGCAATTATGTAATAGTATAAATGTTTTTATATTTATATGTTATGCAAATATATCTAAAAATATAAGTGAAAAATATATTTTTATGTTTCTTGTATTTTTGTTTAACTGCGTGGAAACAATATCCTACGTATAGTGCTTATCGTATAAAGGTATCGTATAACTGTCAGCGACACATGAGAACTGAAAGGTAAATATTATTGAACAAGCCGGCTGCAACAAAAACCACACGCATCGTCATCCCGCTACACTTAACCTGATGGTGTAACAAATCAACCGTTTTGCATGCGACATGTATCATTGTGTGCTTCTTCTATTCATATACGTAATATTCGGATGGCATTTCACGGAATATCCCCAACACATTCAATTACACTTTATAAAAAAATCGATAGTCGCTGGGCGATGCAGATGGCATATTCTCCATGTATTAACCATGTATAGCGTATAGCGCAACTCTGTATATCGCCATGTATAGCGCAACTCCAACCGGAACTTCCGCCGGTGCGGAATTGTATATTGTGTACTGTAAAGGTGCCGTGCTATTGTACATGCAGAAGTTGGTACATATGCAGTTATATCGACAGGTGGGAAAATCCTCTTGCCGGTAATTACGCCGTGTTGTGGAGAAAAAGGGGATATCTTTGCCAGCTTTTAGCTTTGCAGTTCGCTCGCTCTGTACTTTCTCTTAAGTAACTTATTTTGCATGATACATGTAGTAGGGACGTCTGTAAGGAGCTTATATACCATTAATTCCTGTTTTATACCGGATACCTCTTAACACGTAAAGAAAAATGAATGACAAGGGACGATTTTATTCCGGCCATAGCGACGATCACCGATATGGCCGGGCCTGGCGGGATCAGCAGAACGACGTAAGTAGCCGCTGGCATATTTTCATTATTTGTAACGATGAAATGAATAGTGTACACTGTACAGCGTACTGGTTAGGTTGGAACCTGGGGCGCACCGGCATGTGATTTCGAAGACAGGAAATTTTATTAGTTTTTATTACGTTATTTTTTTTGCTGCGACAATCGTCGCGAATGATACAGTTATATAGACAGGCATTATGAATTATTGGTAAATGACTTTGTTGGTATTTTACAGCAGCACAGCCGCGATCGCGGCTACGACCGGGACCGGTATGCCTTCGGCTCCAGCCAGGCGGAGATCCACCGCCACGACCACCGGGACGCGGCGGAACTGCACTCCCGGGAGCCCTACCGCGACCGCAGTACTTACCAACCGGCGTACACACCCGCGCCGCGCATTTTACGCCCTCTCGTTGTAGGCGACTACAACGGCCAACGGGACCATTCTACCGGCAATCAGTATGCTGGGAACTACGGCAGCGAGCCCCGCCATGCGCATCGCTATGGAGACGATCCCTTCGGCGGCCTGTCGCCCGTCCAGAATGGCCGGCACGGACGCGGATATGAAGGGCAGCCAGGATACCCGGGATACGGACAGGCAGCGTATGATCGCGGTCAGTCCAACGCGGGTGGACAAGGAAAAGGTGAGCCCAAGAAACCCACACCTTGGCGTTTACGTTTACCTTGGAGCAAAACGTGTCGTTTTCCGGAAACACCTTATATAATAATTATGGCTCCATGTATTTATCCGAATAACTCATCGTAAAACTGAATTATTTATCATATGCATTACGATACTTGTAGCGCAGTGACTGCTTCCTAAGCGCGCTTAATATCATAAGTACTACCTGTACTTTTACACAAGAAATTAATCATCTGGCTTGCACAGGAAGTTCTGACAAACATAAATACATAGACAGATAGGAGAATATCTAATATGCGCTATGTACTCGTACATGAAGCATATAAAACGTGCTTCCTGACCATGGTGAGAATGAAATGGTATGGAACTGAGCGTAACCCCGGTCTTTTTCCTCTCATTCTACCTTTACGCAATAAATAAATCGCCGGGCTAGTACAGATAATAAATTTATTGTTTGTGTGTTGTTAGTATGCGCACAGATTTATGTGTTTCTTATATAATATAACAAGTACATACACGTATATACACGTACAAGTTTATGTGTACAAGCTTATACTTTTCTTGTTGTTGTACACGTACAATTTTTTTCTTGTTGTAGTATGTGTGCTTCTTTTCTTTTTAACTTGCATTGAAAAACGATTTGACCAATAAAATGCGGATTACAAGTACCGAACATACTCGAACTGGTAAAAGTTGTAAAACTGCTGCCACCACTATTGCTACATGTAAATACTGTACTGTAAAGTCATAAGCATGATGCGAAAACCAACAATGTTATGGCTTTGCAGGATACGGGAACTACACTGGCGGTGGAGGCCATTGGTGAAGGCGCGTTGGAGGTCACTGGTGAAGGCACTGTGGAACACCGTTACACCGGTGTACTTTTTTTGTTACGACACTCATTAGAATGTTTTCGTTTAAAAATCATATCATTCTTCAGCTCTTGTATCTGTACAAGCGTATTCCAAAATGTTTTAAATTAACTTTTAATGGACGGATCTGGATAACATGCAAGAAAGCGCTGTAACAGCAAATGATCAGCGCAAATTAAATTGCTAAGTAAGTTTTCTTTGCAGTCTTTTCTGAGGCTTTTTCTGTCCCTGCTTGCGAAACTTGTGGCACATGGGGCAAAATCCTAAATTACTGTTCGTGGTGAAATGTTTTTTCATAAAACACACGAGATGTGTTCTACTCCGATTTTGAGACTATACGGATCAGTGCCAGCATCGCGTTAATCGCAGTAACATAGCGTATACAGTATATAAAAAAAGTTTTTCACTGATAGCAGACTTGCCGAAGTGTACCACGTGAGCACGCGGTGAAACAATGGTGTTGTACAGTGTTTTGTAGTACGGAATCTTTTTTCACACTTCCTCTACTCGTACATCAAGTAAACCGATAAACACTTACACCGGCAAAACAGCATTATCATTACGATTTGCTGACGTGATTTACTGCAGTAAATTACTGAAGCCATAATCCACATCCGGTATGTCGTTGCCTTGGGGAGATGTGCATTTACGTCAGCACCTACTTAACGCTGCAGCTGGTGTGGCCGCACTTACGAGTAGAGTATGTTGTGCTGATGTCGCTGTATAACACAACACAGCGCGCTAGATTGGGTTGTCTAATAGAACAGGTTTCGGCTTCCAGTACATGTTGTGATTCATACCTTTACAGTTTGCACGTATGTGTCTGCTTTAGAGAATACGTTGCAGAGCATCTACTCCGATGATGCTACATTTTTATCATTAATATTAATTCTTTCTGTGAATCCGGCTCAGAGGAATGGACCGCGATAACGCCGTGTACGTTCAGGGCCGCGATGAGCGTATGCGATACGGGCGTGTGGTAGACGTGGCAGAGGATGGCCTCTTCATCGACCTGCTCTGCCGCAACCGCCGACGTGAATACGCGCCGTTCGGCAGCGTCTTCTTCCCCGATCTGACGAGCTCCCAGGATCTCGTCCGTCTGTATACTCTACAACGATCCGGTGTCCCGCTGGAGGTTCTGGTGCCGGAGACACCTTCCGGTCCGTGGATTTGGCACCCGGGCAAAATACGCTACGGAGGACAATATCCAGACGGTGGCGGGGCCGTTGTCCAGTGGACGAGCCCGGACAGCGGCGAGCGGTGTACCGATTTCGTCCCTGTCCAACGCCTGCGTCCCGTTATGGATGACGTCTACACTAATGCATACTCCAGCCAATGCGTTCATCCAGGCACGTTTATCAAGCGCAGTGTGGACCTGGGCAGGAAGTATCGCTTGTTGTCTGCTGAAGAAGCCGAGGCGCTCATCAAGCGGCTGAATAGTTACGACCTATTTCTGCTTTCGCCGGTTTACATTGCTGACATTGTGGACGGCAAGTTGCATTACATTTGCCAGCTCAGTTATAATGAAAGCCTTATGTCCAGAACGGAACTGTCGGTAAGAAAGAGCTCGGATTCCGGCGGTAGATGTTCTGTTTTGTATACCGTCTGGCAGGTGCCCTTGTGGTTGCGTTTGCCGCGATAGATAATGAACGGTGTCTATCGCCGTCCCCGGATTTACACTCCGGCAAAGCCGTCCGCGCCACAATGCACAGTCTGGCAATACCGTCCGAGTGGAGTGAAATTCCAAATATCGAAGAGTTAGAATAATACTTGGCGGCAAAAATTATGTCGGGCGTTTTTTTGGGCCGGCGGATGGTTTTGCCGGTTACGAACGCTCATAAGCCAGACGGTAGACTATGCTGTACTAGCAATGTGTTGCATGGTTTTCAGAAATCCGTTAACTACTTCAATAAGCAGCTGCTCAAAATGGTCCATGATCCCCCGGACACGACAACCCCGGCAATTGAAATGATCGCGTTACCAGCCGAATGCCAGCCGGCAACTTCGTCCAAAGACGTTAATTCGGTAAGAACGAGTTCTGGTTTTGCGGTCGCCGGCAGATGTTATGCTTGGTTTTCTTGGTTTTGTAGTATTGGTGCCTTGTACGGTTTCAGGAAAGCGGGAACCGCTTCTATAACAAGTTGCTCAGATCGTTTAGGCGCCCTTCTGTAAGAAAGAAGCCCGAGGTAACGGATGACGGTATGACGATGCCCTTACCGGCCGAATTGTGGCAGGAGGTCTTTTCCCACTTGGACACCGTGACACAGACGAAGGTGCGTGCGGTGTGCGTCTTGTGGAGCCAGATCCTGGATGCGCCAGACCTGCGTTCTACGATCACCGTCCGCGATGATTATGACAAGAATGGCAGATTCGGCCATTTTCCCTCATTGGCGTCGATTTATAAGTGCTTACGCCCCGGCACGGACCGTCTTGCCATAACCCACCACCTTGACGGGGAGTGGATGAGTATGGACTACGCGATGATGTTTGCAGACATGATGCAGTTCATCGCTGCGCACCGCCGCGGCATCCACCTGCGTTCGGTGTATCTACAGCGCGTCAAACTGGACTTCGTGCTGGACAGCAGTGTCGATCACAGTCTCGTGGCCGAATGCGCCCTGCATCAGGCGGTGGAGCGCGCGTACTACTGGCTGCAGAATTTCACTACCAAATACCGCGGTTGGTGTTGCGATACGATCCACCAAGACGACTGCGATGCTGGCCTGCGAGTTTTATACCGATCCGCCGCGGGGATTTAAAGTAAAGTTTGAAATATAGAATTCCCAGCGCGCGCTTACCGCGCAATGATAAGGACGGCTGCGCGTTGTGGGAGGCGTTGGAGAGTGCCTTACCGAAGCCGCGCAAGGAGGAACTGAACGCGCTAGGGAAATGGTTGGTAATGAGACGGGATTCGGATGCACAGTGCCACCTGAAGAAAGCCGTTTGCAAGGTAAACATGGCATTTAATTTAGGGAAGTGTGCTGAATTTGAAATGCAGAGTTTTATTTTACGCATGAAACTCCGACCGGAAATGCGCCCACAAACGATTTTTACACCAGTGTAGACAAATCAGTTGGCAACAGAATGTCAAAAATAAGTATTTTTATTGCAAAAAAGTGTTTGGGGTTGTACATGTACACGAATTTGGCACAATGTACCGGTACACTTACCTTAAACCTTTCTATTTTAACTGCCAGTAAATTTAAATTTTTGTTTGTTTACCAGTTTGACGCTGTATGAATACACCGAGCTGATTACTTTATTTGGCAGATACTGTGTGCAGTACAATCGTTTGATCCGCGCCCGTCGTCACACTACAGCGATAGAAAGTGGTGCGTGGACGGCCTGGGAAGCTTTAGGGTACAACTGAAAAAATTGTCGCGGATTTCTTTGCACTTCCTCGTGCAGTTACACAAGCAGACGACGGAGGGAGGAAAGCGGCTTTTGTGAGAGCCTGATCCATTTTGCTACGTACTCGCTTTCCGGATTGTGTGTCCGGAGGCACGGAATTCTGCACGTTGTTCCACTTCCACAAGATAAAAACTCCTCTAAAAACTGATTAAGGGATAACCATGGTGGCTATGCCTGTACCAACCACGTGTTAGGACGATAGTGTTGTGCGGAATCTGTATCATACTTCCTGTATGTAGAGTATACCAGTAAATACCGCCATGTGTCTGTATATAGGTACACAACCATTACAGTACAGTATGGTAGATCCGCGAACTTGATGCACTGTACCAACTTATTTCGAAAATTCTGATTCCGGGTTTTGATAGCCTTTAGGCAGATATACATCTCAACGTTAGCACTACGCTGCGGTTGCTCATGTGCATTACCAATTACTTGTTGCACATCCAAATACACAATACAGTATGGTTACTTCGGAGTATGGTATACAAATATTCTCCTCGCATATGCATGTGTATAGAAGAAAGGATCATAATATTTATTTGTACCCGGTCAAGTTCTACTGTAATCAGATAAACAAAACCTAGCATCTTTAGCAACAGAACGGCGCTCCATTTCCCCTAGCACATTGAGCACATTGAGCACAATGTAAAACCTAGTACATTGAGCAACATAGCTTCTCCTCATTTCCCCTGTTTTGTGCCCAACGACGTCAACCCTGCCCAGCGGAATGAACCGTGTAAACCTGATATATATCAGCTAACTACGTAAATTCCGATTCCGGGTTTAATAGGCCTTGGGCGGATATATATCTCAAATTTAGTGATTATTGATTACCTTTAACGCTGCTGTAGCTCTACGTTGACAACAAGTTGTGTGTTACCCGTACAGATATGTTTACAACGGGGTTTAAACTGCACTAAAAAGTATTCTTCGAGCATGTGCAACTGTCACAATATTTATTGGTAGCCGAGTCAACTCTAATCAGACAAACGAAATTCGAACCTAGCATCTTCAGTACAAGAACCGCTCTCCAATTCCGCCATTTTGTACCTAAACGTCATCAACGTTGCCCCGTGAAATGGACCGCGATAACGCCGTGTACGTTCGGGGCAGCGATCAACGGATGCGGTATGGGCGTGTGGTAGACGTGGCAGATAACGGACTCATCATCGATCTGCTCTGTCGCAACCACCGACGTGAATACGCGCCATTCAGCAGCGTCTTTCTTCCCCATCTAACCAGCTCCAAAGATCTGACCTGTTTGTATACTCTGCAGCAATCCGCCCCGCAACATTTGTTCACTCTGTACCCGCTGGAGGTCCTCGTGCCCGAGACGCCCTCCGGTCCGTGGATCTGGCTGCCGGGAAAAATAAGCTGCCAGGGACCATGGGATAAGGCTGGAGGAGCCATTGTCCGATGGCGGAGTCCGGACAGCGGCGCGCTGTGCAGCGATTTCATCCCCGCCCAACGCCTTCGTTCCGTTCCGGATGCCAACGTTCCAGCCGTCCAGCAGGGCTCATTTATTAAGCGCAGCGTGGATCTAGGCAAGAAATATCGCTCACTGACCACCGAAGAGTCTGGGGCGCTTGTCAAACGGCTGAATAGTTACAGTCTGTGCCTCCTTTCCCCAGTTTTCATGGTTGAACTGGTGGATGGCAAGTTGCATTACATTTACAAGCTTGGTAATGCAGAAAGGAGTATTTCACCCAGGAAGGTTTTGTCGGTAAGGGATGTTCGGCTTTGTACAACGTAAAGTTTCCAACAGTATTTCTAGTAAATCTGGGGTACGGTTTCCAGAAATTTGTTATCCCATTCCATAAGCAGTTGCTCAAAATCGTTAAATATCCTCTTACTACTCTGGTTAACGACAACGGCAAGACATTGGCGTTACCGGCCCAACATCTGGTCGGTCATGCAGAAAGGTCAACCGCATCGGATGGCGGTACTTCGGTAAGCACGGGTTCCGATTTCGCCCACTGATGTTCTGCTGAATATGAAGTTCGCTATAGTACTGGCGTGTGGTACGGTTTTCAGGAAAGGGATGACCGTTTCCATAAAAAGTTTTTCCGGTTGTTCAGGCGTTCAGCTGAAAAAAGTAAGCCTGAGGCGAAGGAAATCGGTGTGACGATGCCGTTACCGGCCGAATTGTGGCAGGAGGTCTTCTCCCACTTGGACACCGTGACACAGACAAAGCTGCGCGTTGTTTGCGTCACGTGGAATCGGCTCCTGGATGCGCCAGCCTTGCGTTCCACGCTTGTCATCCGCGATAATTATAAGGAGGGCAGATTCGGCCATTATCCATCCCTAGCGTCTATTTTTAAATGCTTGCTACCAGGTATAGAACGCATTGTCATAACACACCTTCAGGAAACAGAAGGAATGAGCAGGCACTATGCGCGGATGGTTTTCGACCTGATCCAGTATGCGGTGGATCACCAGCTCGGCAACCGCCTGCGTACCGTGCATCTGCACCGCGTCAGACTGCAGTTTCTGCTTAGTTGCCGAGCCGAATGCGCCATGCATCAGTCGGCGGAACACACGTACTACTGGCTGCAGAAGTTCACTGCGAAATACCAGCGTTGGCACTGCCATACTGTCCACCTAGTCGACTGCGTGGTGGTGTTGGACTGTGAGTTTTACACCGCTCCGCCGCGGGGATTTAAAGCGCACTCGAAGATTAATATCGGTACCTTGAGATTGCCGGGAAATGATGATTGCAGTGGTCGCGAATTCTGGGATGCGTTAGAGGCGGCACTGCCGCTACCCCATGAGCAGGAGCTGAGAAAGCTATTTCACTGGCTGACGGTGTGTCGGGATTCCAGTACACAGTTCTACTTCGAGAAAGCCGTATGCAAGGTGAAATTGATATTTATGTTTTCTTAAATCTGTCGCCAGTACAATGTAATCCTTTCCGACTTCGATAGCACTGAACTGCTTTATGTTGCAGATACTGTGTGCAACGCAGTCATTTGATCCGCGTCCATGGTCGCATTACAGAGGGAAGCTGTGGTGCTTGGAGGGCCTGCGCGATTTGCAGTTGAAGAAGCTGTCGCGTGTAACCTTGTACTTCCTAGTTGAAGTGCAAAAACAAACGGCGGCGCGGGGACTGTGGCTGCTGTGAGGGTCGGCAGACACTGCACAGTCTTGATAAGTGGCTACAATAGCACATGTGCCGCTTTGGTCAATGCTAAGCGCCGTTCGAGCGGAAATTAACCACTTACAAATAGTTATATCGTTCACTTTAATTTATATTACTGTCGTTCCACAAAGTTGTTTTGCTTTTATTTGCTATCAGTGACTCTATTAACTGATTTGGAGCCACAAGATGCAATTTATGTACAGGCCGTGTACCCGGGTACACTTGCTAAGGCTTCGCTAAACAGACGAAAAATAATGAACGACAGATATCCATGTCGTTTGTCGAGATTGAGATTGATAGTATACATTTGCCTAAGATAGCCTTTACTCATTATTCATAATACTAATCCCAAAAACACGTTGCCGACGCATTATGAGGTGGTCATGACTTATTTAAATGTGATTCAGCAAACTCAGGACACAAATAAAAAATTAACAACATATTTTTTTTAAACAGCAAGCGCAGTATTTAAAGATCCATAAACCGATCTGGAACTGGCACGTAGTTTTTCTGACACGCTACTGACCAGCAATTACACCATTCTGCGTCACATGTGAATGGTTTGATGCGAAACAGATGTTTACCAAAACCAACACTGATCGTTTGCGATACTGATCGTTTTACTCTATAATCTTTCAAATCGCAACGTTTTCTTACTTAAAGCTAGAACTACTGACTTAATGCAGTTGCTTAATGTTTCCTTGGCCAGCATTCTCCTAACCGTGCATTCACAAAATAGATTCTGATATTATGTCGTACACTGTGATATTTGTGTATGACATATTTTGGCTTTCTTGCCACATCACTTAAACATAAGAATAAAAAAATTATGGAGATTGTCTGTTGTTACACGATTAAATCAATTTTATATACGATGATGCTGTGTGGGACTTCATGTCGTATCGTGGACAATGTTGCAGTTAAATTAAATTAATAAGGAGCTTAAACAAATAATACGAGTATTTTGCAAAATTCGACTCTTACTGTATCGTTTAATACTGGATTAGTATTCGTAGTAGATGAAAGCAGCTGATGTACTGCATCACGGCCCCTAGGTGTAATGGTTTGTCAAATAATATGAACTACTCCTTTTGCAGAAGTTCCTCGATTTTCACATTCAGGCCTCCTAGGTGCACCGGCAGACGCTCTTGCAGCGCGCAAATTGCATTTAAACACCGGTTCACCGTATTAAGCTGACGTAAAGTGACGTTTGAATAACAAGCTGCATGTTAAGTAGTGAATTTATTTGTTTCGTTGTCCCATGTGCTTAGAAAGCAGTAACCGGAAATGGATGACACTTTGATCTGACGAATTGAGAGATTGCGACTGATATGAATGATATCACACTAACTTCGTCGTTATTTTGGGTTCTTATTAATACGAAGTACCGTAGTCTACGTTCAATGGGCTGAATTGTTGGAACGTCAAATTGTACGAGTAATCGGAGCGTTACACGTCAACTTTTGTACTAAATTATAAGCATTCCCAATCGGTGTGTTAAAATTATTTCGTTAGGCCGTTGAATTAAATGACAGAAGCGAAACTTTTTTATCAGTTTCACTTAACAACACCTGTAGAACATTCATGGCTGACCAGGAGGCGTTCAACGCGGAGGAATTTCGCACAATGTGGGAATGCCGGTACACGATCGTTCGTCATATCGGGAATGGCACCTTCGGCCATGTCTACGAAGTAACGCTGACAAGCGATGATGGCAGTGAACGAACTGCGGCACTAAAGGTGACTAATCTCAAGAAACACCAGTTTGCGAAGGAGTCCGCCAGAGACAAAATGCGCGAGCTGTTTGCAAAGTTGATGCAACTAAGTCATAAGAACATAGTTGTCTATCATCAGATCACCGTAGAGTCTGGATTATCCGGAGAGTTCATCACGGTGAACCTCCTGATGGATCTTTATAAAGGTAATCGAGAAAAAGTGAGGTTTATTAGTACGGTTTGATAGTACGGTTTAATAGTATGGTTTAAAAGTACGGTAAAAAACAGTACGGTTTAAAAGCGTCCCTTCGTTTGTAGGCGGAGACTTGACTTATCGTCTGAAGCAACTGCTAGAAAAAACTCAGCTTCGTCAGAGTATTCCTGACAACAGTTCCGTCGCTTGGCTGTCATCCGATGTGGCAAAGATTACCGATTATGCCCAGCAGATCGCCGACGGCCTTACGTATTTACACGGCAACAACATTATCCACGGCGATCTCAAACCCGGGAACATCTTCATCCATGTGACTCAAGACGGCAGCGAGACACGTGATGTCCTGGTCATCGGGGACCTGGACGATTTCGTCCAGATCGCCGACACCGCTTTCTGTCTCGATGACACCAAGATCGACGAGATGACGCACGCCCGCGGCACTTACCGCTACATGTCGCCGGAAATGTACCTCAAATTAATACATAACCTCCTCGTCCATCCGGGACCGGGGACGGACATCTGGAGTGTGGGTTGTATTATGGCGGAAATGGTGCACTGTATTATGGGTCGCGGGGAGATGTGGCTGCGCCAGGTTGACGCGCCGCACCAGGTGAAGCAGGTTGAGAGTACCGTGGAGGGGGAGGAGTTCGCGCTGATGGTCTCCGCTGGGTATGTGCCTGTCGTAGCGGAGGGGGCACCAGCGGGCATGGCGGAATGTATCGGCCGCTGTTTGTGCTATAATAGCGCGGAGAGAACCAGCGCGGCGCAATTGCGGCAAGAACTGCACCACCCGGTCAGCGAACCGGGAGTTGTAACACCGACAACCTCAGGCTGTAAGGAGATGGGCGTTTACTTCTGTAAGCTGATGGGATTTTTGTTGTGTATTGCCGTGATTACCGTTTTTATGGATTTGTTGTATGGAGACTATGATGGGGTTCCCGATGCTTTGCCGGAAGAGGGAGAGTATGGACTTTATCCCCCATACGAAGAAACGGATTACGGGTGTGCGCCTGCTGGATGCAACGTGGAAATTGTCACCCCAAACATCAGCGAACTGAGCCCTGGTTTGAACAACACGGATCGCGATCAGCCGGAGACGGGTCCCGGTCGTTCACGTGCTCGTATCTCCGTCGACAACTTTCCGCGGGATGATCATAAGAAAGTCCGGAATGAGCGGCGCGACGGGTTGCTTGAGAGGGACCAGCTGAAAGAGATGGCGGCGGAACGCATAAATCAGCAGCGTGCCCCGGCACGAGGAAGGGTACCAGCTGCCGGCGCTGCACGGCCTTCCGCATCGCGGACGGCTGTGCGTGCTCGTGGCCGCTTGTTTCGTGGTTGAGCTTCGCATTGAGCGATACCGACGCAACCAGAATCAGGTAAACGCAGCGGCTTCGTTGTTCTTCTCGTTGTGCATACCAGTTTCTCGTTCAGGACAATCTACGGACAAAATCAGCGCGTTTGTGTTGGTGGGGTCTTGGTAGTTGCTAGTGAATACGGCGATCACACAGTATTCACACTGTACGCTTAAATAATCATGTAGCAAACCTACCCACGATTTATTTGTATAGTCAGTAAATATTTCGAATTTCTGATTTTTCCGTCAAATGCCAAATAACCTGATTGGTAAACGACTGCTTACTTCGGCTGCCGTTACCCTTTCGACGTTTTGCTTGGGATTACCAAGTAGCTGCTGCGAGCTTTCTGTCTACAGTGTAATTCTTATACAGAGACTTGAGGATTGCGATTCTGAATAAAAGTTTCGGCGAATATTTGACCTTTGCAATAAACGGAAATGGTACGGTAGTCCGCACAAGATCACAGAACATCTGTACTGGTATCTGCTCCCACATTGCTCACTGTTACACTTGTGAGCGGGGTTCACTAGCGTTGTGAGCGGGGGTTCACTAGCGTTCACACTCGTGACGCTACTCGCCATGGATTACGTGTCTGTGTTGTGTCTCGCCTCTGATTGGCTAGTGGGCGCGGCATAGCACGTGCTGCACAGTGATGCACACTGTGGAATTGGCTCCACGATTTGACGATCGAGCTGCGCCGATCAGTGTTGATTTTCTGTGCTCCAGAATTGTCAATATTAAAAAGTTAGCAATTAGCGGTGCGACGTTTTGTGTTTCCGCATAGCTCGCAATCCAGATCGCATTGCTCGCTCCACAGGATCTATCCCGTTTAGGTCTCTGTCTCTGGATCCATTCTGGATCTAGCTTTAGACACTGTAAAGCGGAGCGTGGGCAATGAAACTTATGAGAAAGTTGCGAAAACGTTTTTAGTCTTCGACAACAAATTTTGCAGTATTTGTTTATAAGGTTTAATAAGTTGTATTGCGTTGCTCATGGTTTCAGTATCACGCCAGCGAAATTCTTTTCGTTCGGTTATCCTCTGATAACGCGCTTTACTGAATGGCAGATGTGAGACAGAACGTTGTGTGTTTTGATAGGGACTGATCGCCATGCGCATAATCTTTGTGATAAGTTCGTTTTCAATCGATCAAATTAAATCCGAAAACGTCGCCAAATAGCTTTGTTTGCGAACACATCACGCGATTGTCTTTGGGTTTTTCAGTTAACAAGGTACGAGTACAATTTTTAGGTTTCAAAGAATTTTTTTATATAAAGAATTTTTTTCATATATGTAAGTTCAATTGCCGGTATAAGTTGCACATACAGTAAAACCTCGGTATTACGTACACTCTTAGGCACGTACACCCTCTGAATTGAGTACAGTTAAGGGCGTACCAAGGTTATTGTACAAGCGGTAAAATGCCCCTGAATTCCGTACACCTCTTAGTTACGTACGAATTTTTCTGTGCGGAGGGTGTACGTAAAAGCGAGGTTTTACTGTAAATGAGCTGCACATGCAAAAAATTTCCAGGATAACGCGGTAGTAGGTACTCGTATGTCCAACCGACGGCGTTATTTCTAATTAATTTGTTGCAACACACCAGCGTCGCATTACAGGCACCATGGCACATAGCGATAATACGTGATTGTGAATCCCATTAAAACAAGTCGAAATTGCGTTCATTTTTCGCTCCTTTGTTTATCCTGAATTGTTTACCTAGCTTACCAGATTAGGAACAGCAGACAGAAATGCAATCTTTTCTCCGCATTCTCGTTCCGAAACCGTAGTAAATGAAGTATTGTAATCCTTATCGGCGTTTCCCGTAAATATTATTACCAGAATGGTTCACGATTGTTTGCCACGCTGACAAAATCAGTTACGCAATGCGTGAGGGTACATGAGAGGCTATGGGTATAAAATGTCATGCTTTTGCGGCCTGCCTGTACAATAATCATTCGCAAACCTGTTTTGACCTATTTATTACACAAGAGAATTTGTCGTTAAGCAAAGAATACCGCTAAAAATATCCCGAAATGTCGCGCATCGGTTTCGTACTGATTGTTCTTGGCACAATGGCTGTCGGTAAATTTAACATGCCTAGAAAGAAATTCTTTCTACTTCAGTGATACTAAAGAAAATTACGCTATCCGTATTTTTTTGTATACATAAACTGATAAACCTACAGTATACTAATGTTGTGTTCTGTAGGAGAAATATCAGCACTGAAATGCTACGTTCGACACGATATTAGTCAAGACGATAAAGAAGTCACCTGTCCGCCGCCTCTTGAATCGTCTCTAACGATGGTCTGCGTGAAAACGACTTTTGTACAGGACGCTAACAACGCTGATCTCTTCCTCGCCCTGACTGGTAAGATTGTATATTATACATCACACACCCGTATTTTTATCTGCAACTGTTTATGTTAGTGAATACTGAATTTTTTGAATATTGAATTGAATTTTCTGAATCTAATATTGAATTTTCTGTCAGTGACATAATTAAGTATATGAACTGGGGATTTAGGCATGAAGAAAGGCTGCCGAATCCACCCGAATGTCAATTCAAAAGTGGAATGTGCAACGGGAGCGATTGATAGTACTCACTACGAACACTGCTACTGCAACACCGATTTGTGCAATTCAGCTGATCACCGGACTGTGATGCCCTGGCTAGGATTGGGAATAATGGCTACAGTTTTCTTTCGATGGGTGTAAATTTTTCTCTAGTCCGGGACTATAACAACCGCAAGTAAGGGAAAAATGCCGATGGTGTGCATTCCATAGTTTGCACTTTAAAATGACATGATTATTTTTAACAGTTTTTCAAATGATACCCCCATGATTATCACAGCTTCGCAAGAATGCTGAAGTAATCCGTACCAATACTGGAGACAGTTAATAGGTGAAAATCATAAAAAATACCACGTTTCTTGTAAATGCATTTAGCATCATTTCCACAATTTTGCGCTGTACAAGAAGCTATTGTTGCGTCCAATGAATTTCTTAAAAAAAGGTGGCATTTTTTGGTGGCGTTTCTGAGGACGGGTTTTGCGATTATAGCAGTGATTTTTGTTTATTTTCGTTTGTTCGTGGGTAGCAAAGATCTGGAATTTTTAATTAAGTAAAACCACAACCGGGCCCACCAACAATTATAACTGCCAGTTTGGCGTTAAAGTTCAATAACTGCTTGTATTCGGAATAAATTTAAAAATCTTTAAGCAACTAGAAAAACTGAGACAACTGAAAAAACTGAGACAAACAAAGTTGATTAAGTTTCGGCGATGCATTTTCCCCAACGAAATGGCGGGTCACCTCCTACACTGGAAAACGCAAAACGAGAAATCACGATGTGGCCCAAATTTTTTTTTATTTTGCCAATAATTGAACAGACAGCCGGGGAAAGACATCATCACTTTGGCTCCCTGGCGCGAAAACAAGAAGGCAAATCACGTGTACGCAAGGCAAGCAGAGGCAAATCACGTGTACCCATCTGCACTTCCAAGCAGTGCATCATAATATGTGAACCATACAGCTGCATCCAGGCTGATCCAGCGAAGCTCTAAGATTTTCCAGGTTGAACCAGCGAAACCGACTCCGCCTACGTTCTGAAAAATCCGGTGCTGATTTCACGCAAAGGATGGCGGAAAGCGATCAAATACACGGCTTGACGGATACAGCGACTGAAAAACCAGAAGATCGACAGAATACAGGAACCGGATGTTTGTCGTCCACGTCAGCATTGCTCTTTTCGTTAAGTACTTTCACTCCGCACTAAGGGCTGTGTAGCGCCAAGCCGCGTGATCTTCCGAGAAGCCGGCAAAGATAAAAAGTTTCCTGCACTCACACTCTCAGAGTTTGGTAACGTCATCCCGTAATGCACCGAGAAAAAAAACCGGGCATAACGGCACATACCAGAGTTCTTGGTACCGGCAAATTAAACAACTGAAGTGCCGGACACCACTGTTGCATTTGATGTGGGTTTTCCTGATCTGTTCCAGATGAGCATCTCTGCTCTCAATCTGTAGGCTGCATTGCTGTTGCACTTTTAGACATATCAGCTGCATTATGTAGCTGCCGCAACCTTTTTGTTGTGCGTACCTGTACCTGCGACATAACCATAGCGCTTCCGCTTTTTTATAACAAGGACTAATAAGCAAAAAACCACAACTGCTGCCACTTTTGCATTGATGTTTAGTAACTGCTTGCTTTCGGAATAATGGCCACTTATCCCAATCGCAGCTTTAACCAAACCAGTTTTACTGAAGACTCTGCTAATCTTACCGAAGTCGTCGATGAATCGTACACAGACTATTACTATTTCAACAGCTGGATTTTCAGTGAGAATCTCGACGTCGTTCTCTGCTGTTTTTGTCTGACGCTGAATCCGCCCATCATCGCCCTCTTCATCCGGCTTCCCCATCTGCGCAGTTGTCTCGCCGTGTACGTGACCTTTCTGGCCGGCTGTAACATTCTGCAGGGCATCAGCTATCTCCTGGTGGTTTATCTGTCGTTCTTCCTCCAGAATATCAGCGATGACTGGGATTACTGTGTATTTTATGTTTATTTTCGCGAAGTGCTGCTGGCAATGCCGCTGCAGATGCACGCGCTGATCGCCTTGTCGCGCTTATGGGCCCTCAGTTTCCCGGCCGTATACGAGCGTCTCCACACGCCGGCGCTGGCTTGGATATTGTCTCTGGCGACGGCCGCGGCCACCAATCTCATTTATCTTCCCTTTATTCTCTGGGATCGCTTCTTCTCGCTCGAAGAATCCTCTGCTTGCGGCCGGAATATCATTATCTTTGGCAATGAGACAGTGACTGCTTTTTGGGCGGCACTGCAGATCATGGTGCACAATGTGCCCATGGTTTTCATCCTTGTCAGCTACCCACCACTGTTCTGGCTGTATCGGAGGGAACAGCGCCGCAAGGAGAAGCTCATCGAGAAGCAGGCGGAGTTGCTGAACTGTTATTCGGTCAATTTGAGCCGGCGTGCATTCATAGATGCGATATATTTTCCGAAAGAGCAACAGGTAACGCTGCACTATGGCATTGTTGTTGGGGTCAGTCACGGCCACTAACTTGTTGAGCTTTGTATAAATAGGATGGATATACTAAAACATCTGTTTTAACTCGGCAAAATCCGTCGAGAAACGGTGTCTCTAAAGTGTAAGGAACGAGACTTAAGCATGGCACACTTGATTCGCTCGTTGTGCATTTTTCAGGTACAGACTGTACAGCTGGTAGAGAAGAAACCGTTTTTCCGGATTCGTCCGTTCATGACGCTGACTGCGCTGACACTGAGCACCGTTATCTGCTCGACGCCAATGTTGGTCGTCTACGATATGTTTTTGACTGGTTCAATGTTGGTCAATGGGTTCGAGTATCGGATTGCCTGCTTGTTGATGCTCTGTCAGCCCATTCTGGATCCGGTGTTTTTCGCGCTGAGCATACATTCCGTGCGGCATACAATTGTTGTCGCAGTGGTCCGAACATGGAATTGGCTGCGGTCATAAGAATTATTTTTTTAGGACTTTTTCGGGTGAGCTGGTCTGGTCTGTTTGGTCTGGTCGACCAAATGGTCTGTTTGTTGATTTCCTACATGTTTTGAGTATTGTTCCTGATCTCATGAATCATGTACGATATAATGCGGTGATGTTCTTTTTATCAAACGAAAAGGGGAAATACTGTATGTAGAGCGCACTAGTTACTTAGCGCACTAGAGCACATTTGAACAGTAATTACAACGTTATAATCATGATAATACACCATTGCCGTACAGTTGGATAATTCTACTGATGGGCAGGATGGTATCTATGTTCCGGTTTAACACAAAAATCTGGTCAACAACAAAAAGGCAGTATTAAAAGGCTATGACAAAAATATTTCCTCTAGCTTCTCGTGATCCGGTATTGTGCCCATCACGCACAAAGCGTTTCCTCTCTGAATTTGTATGGAGATCCGCTGCCGGAAGAATTTTTCGCGCGAGGTTGTCCGGTAGCGGCTGCGACGAGGTGTCCGATTCTGTCGACCAGTTTCTTAGCTCCGTCGCCCAAGGGTCCGTATATTTCAAAAGCCGCGGCGGCAAAATTATACCTTGGCTGAAGCCACGCATGTTTCGCGAGCTTTTTCGTTTCCGCCAGCTCCGCTGCGGCACCGACGTTGACGGTGGTACGGTCAATATACGAACCTGCCAGGGTGTCCACACAGGTCACGTCTATTGCGAGTGGTTTGCCATTTTCCCATGGGATGAGCGTAACGACATCCGGCCTTTTATTAACTTTTATGCCTAATCCCTTTGGTTCCATTCTGGCAGGGAAACCACATGTCGTTAGCGCGCGAGCGAACTCTCTGCTGATGCCATCATGTCTAGGTAAACGTCCAGCTGATCGTTTACACCGCATTCCGTGCCTCCCGAACTCGTCCACCCATTCACCGCAATTACACTCATGAGGGGTGACTATTGGGGCGCCTAATCGTAGAGCGACACTGGTTTGAAAATCAATATTTTCCAGCAGATTGCCTAAGCAAGCAGCTGGTAAGGCGTGGATCCAATAACCGGATTCAGGAGTCGACACCGCCTTCAGGTGTGCAATTTCCGTGGCAGAGACACGGAGTGTCGAAAGGTGAGAGAGTGAACGCAGGGTTGCGACAGTGTCCCAGGCTTTTTGGATGCTTTGGAGAGGTTCAGCTGGCAAACTATCAAACTAGTATCTACTTACGCTATCTACTTACTTTACTTACGCTAGTATCTACTTATCAAACTAGTATCTACTTACGCTACACGTGGGGCCGCTGTTTTATGTTTTAAGCTTACAATTGCCTATTAACGTAATTTTAACATTGGTTAAAAAGATTCACTCTCCGGTCGCTCTATTGTAAACCTCTAATCGAAGCATCAGAAGAAGCATCTAAAGTAAGGACCTGTGCCGTGCCAACAGTTCAATGTGGTGGGTTTTGGGTTTGCTCTAGTCGGGAAGCCCTATTCGATCCACAAATCAACCGTGTAGGCACACACTGGAATGGGATAATATGACATTTGGGATCAGCAAAAGTCTCTCAGTCTGTGGTGTCGCTCAAATGTTTTTCGTGGGATACCTTAATAATAACAGTTTCGCAAATTTGCGCATTTGGGCAAAAGAGAACACTGTATTTGACGGACACTCACTCGTACGAGAAAACGTGTTCCAACTACAGTCGTTCTACAGTGCTCCACGCAAAGGTCACAGCTTCCGAGAAATCTCGGCTAAAATCGGTAACTGACGACGGTCGCTGGTAAATTTTCCGAAAATACCGCGCCTATAATATAGGGGGAAAAATGTGTCTAGCCGAACCAGTCCCTTGTACTTCTGATGTAAGCCAGCTGGTGGTTTACGTTGTGGGTGCACAGCGTCTTATGTAAAGCGCTGCTATTAAGGCAGTGCGGCACTGACGGTACATGTGGTATTAGCTGCACCAGGCAGATCCGGGCTATAATGCAGTCTTAGCCTGTTTACCTGCAGTTGTACGAGTGCTGCTTATCTGTTATCAGTACCTCAAATCTTAATAGCAGCGCTTTACATAAGACGCTGTGCACCCACAACGTAAACCACCAGCTGGCTTACATCAGAAGTACAAGGGATTGATTCGGCTAGACACATTTTTCCCCCTATATAATCTGCTGCAGAATCATGCTGCCGGGAGCAGCGAAGAATCAACAATTGCAATTTTAGACAAAAAGATGGCTCAGTTCCGTATCCCATAATAGCCTGTACAGAGTACAGCAAGTGATCCTGTTCGAAACCAGTTTATTATGCTCGACTACGTGGAGTTCGCTCGTAGCGCAATGTAAAGCATGGTCTCATAAAAGTGTACGCTGCATTTTGCTGCAACTGGTACGAAGAAAATAGTTTGCGCTCCCTTTCTGTAGTTTACGAGAGGTGTTGTATAGTAATACATAATTTTCTCGGCTGATTAGTTTACGAGAGGTGTTGTATAGTAATACATAATTTTCTCGGCTGATTAGCGCGCTGGAAATCAAAATACGTAAATCGTACTTGCGAACACGGCACTCCCAAAAACCCTTTTTTATCAATCTATTTTCAAAACCAATCATATCGCAGCGCACTACACGATACTCTTGGTCCGAAACATCCAGTTATTTTAATCTGGTGCGCAGTAAGCTGTGGTATGCGACGGACCCATGCCGTTTTAAATCCTTTTGCCATCCAAAAGCACACTACTAGGTAGTGTTGTTTTCTGTTTCTAATTGAGCAGTAATTTGTATAGGCCATTATTTACGAATACACTTTTCCTCGTCTTATTGGTCATTTTACAGATACATAGGTTGGTTGTAACACTACGCCTTCCACTTTACTGTAGTCCGCTGTGCCCATATTCTGCAACAGAAATCCGTTTCCGCACAGTGCTGAGAGGCCTGAAGCTTCCCCAGCGGAATGGATCGCGACAACGCCGTGGACGTTCGGGGCAGCGATCAGCGGATGCGGTACGGACGCGTGGTAGACGTGGCGGAAGATGGCCTCTTCGTCGATCTCCTCTGTCCCGAGAGCTCTCTCTGTCCCAGGTCTCGTCCCAGTGAGAGAATGTCCAAGTTAGGACATTAGTGGATTGGTTCTGAACCACATGGAACCACCATGGAACCACAAGCGGACCAAGTGCGCTCTCACATGCCGACTTGCTGTCATGCTACCTCTAAGCCCCGTGAACCAATGGAACCAATGGAACCAACCAATGGAACCACCATGGAACCCAAGTGAACCAAGTGCGCTCTCTCATGCCGACACGCTGTCATGTCCATGTGGTTCCATTGGTTGATGTGAATACATTTTTTATGTGGTAGCTGCCAGGTTTTATCGCTTGCCATGCCATTGGCAGGTGCCACTGCCACGTTTAACATTCTGCCCGCTTCCCGTACTGTAAAAAATTCCTACACGCTAATTTTTCAGTACGAGTTTATTATTTAAATTTTAATAGTTTTACAGCGTCTCACATTCACAGTAGGTCAACAACACTACGTACAGCTTAGGACAAAAAAGACGCATAACCCCACACCCAGATATCTGTACGCATGTGGCAAGTGCACTTGTACGACAATCGGATATTTTAGCTGAGCCGTACAGCGCACTGCACTGCATGCGTTCGGAATGCTGTGGGTGGGATTATGCGTCTTTTTTGTCCTAAGCTGTATACACTATACACTGCTGTATTAAGATTGAAAAAAAACAGCCAAATTCTCCATTAACAATCTTATTCTTTCCTGGCAAAGTGCCCAAAACTGCTGCGGCATTTCCCTTCATGATAGCCAAACTAATGCGCTGTTTAAGAAAGACCGGGGATCTGCTCTCGCCTGTCTTTTCCCTAATCAGACGTCCAAAGAAACTGACCACTTCCTTAGCAGCTTCTCCTAGGGCTCCCATCGAGTACGAGTTTTGTACATTTGTTTCATCGCATTCCAGTGAATCCTGACAGTTCAGCCCTGTATTCCTCATGTACCACGTTAGTTTCTTTGGCTCGTTTTCATTTACTAGGTTGCATTCCTTACGCGGTTATATATTTGTAAAACTGATACGTGTGAAAAAAAATTGTGCATCTGTAATTGTGAACAGCGTGAATCTGTACAAGTGTATCCATACAAGCATTACTGCGATGTTTTTCCGATGCCGTTACGATGCTTTTATGATTTTGCTGCATTTCCATCGATTACCTAATCATTTTTCATACTAGGTAGAACCTCTACGCGGAGTCTTTGAATTACTCTGTACTTATTACGTCATGATGTTATGGCAAGGTGCACTGCATTCAGATTTTAAGTGTTAATTCTGTGAAGCTGTGCAACGAAGCATCCCTCGGAGTGTCGTCTGGATATCTTCCAAACCGGCGGTAATATAGATTGGATCCAGTGTCGCTTGCAGGAGCATCATGGTAGCACCAATCTGGTTGAAAACCGTGTTGCTGTATCTGTATAGTAAACCGAGCTTTAAATAAACCGTATTAGGCAGCCAGCAGATACCTGCCGTGATGGTAAGTATGGTGAGAACTTTGTAGCCGCCCGATCGCCGGCGGACGGTTTGGTTGCCGCCGGCCGCTGCAGATGGATTCACTAAGGCAAGGTCATTTTCTCTTTGCGCTGCTCTGACTTGCCTTCGCCGTCTTCGCTTCAGCAAAATATACGGAAAACCAAAGAAAATTGCAACTTGTGGCAATGTGTAAAACCAGAATTCCGTAAATGTTAGCAACTGCCACTGTGTGCGGCTTTGACTGGAGTTCACTAAACAGTAAGGAATATCCAGAAGGAAACGGTAATACATCGCATCGCGAATCAGTTCCGGCAGCAGGAGAGCGTTAATGTATATCCAAGTGGCCAGGCAGATGGCGAAAGCCACCGCCTTCGTGTGGTGGCTTCGGTAGCTGACCGGAAAGGTTACGGGCAGGGGATAAAAGGTGGCAGTGGCACCTGCCATTGGCAACTGCCACCGGCAGTGGCAGTTGCCACTACGCGTTCTGGCAAGCGATAAAACGTGGCAACTTAGAAAAACTTAGAATCAGCTTGAGACAGTTCTGTGATCCAACGATAAGGTCCACAGGAAGAATCTTTGTGCCTACAGGGAGACCCTCAGCCTGAGCCATGTGCCTGCGCCTTCCACTGCAATGAGAGCTGCAACGCTGTTCAGCAAACGCAACCCTCACGAAATGCCCCCAAATCAGTGCCGCTTACAATCATAGCGCGGTAATGCGACGGTATTACAAAAGCATTCCATTCGTGCATTTAAATTAAACCAATGAATTTCGAAAAATCGTTTGATCATGGATGACATCCTGACACATGTCTTGAATGACTGAACTAACTATAATGCTTCACCCCTTGATAAGCGTAGTGTAAAACAAACTTCTTTGACAAAGGAAGGATTGTGAAGAGGAAAGGAGGGAAATAAGAAACATATCTGTCATAAAAAAAACGAAAATTTAGAAAAGTCGTCGTGTAGTGTTTAATTTTTCGCTTCAGTGCTCGCAGTGCACGAAAGCTGATACGAGCGCTTATAGTTGCTGGTACATGCAATTCCTTAAGAAATCTTCATGTTCATTCAACACGAACGCTGTCGAGTGTGCCTGTGTAGATCTCTGTAAAGTGTAAATAGTAAATAAGTACTGCAATCAAATTAATCGAAGAGCCGCGGCGGACGCAGTGCAAGCCGAATTGCAAGGCGCCTTTGCCCTCTGATTAATGGGACACATCTGTCCCAGACTTGTGGTAAGGCAACGAAAGGGAAAAGAACAGAGCGATTGATTCTGGCAGACAAAGAGCGCGCCTGCCTTTATTTTTTAATGTACACTAGGTACGAGGATGGAGTAAATGAGCTCGATGCACCCGAGCAAGGGGTAACAGAGCTCGTTATCCGTAATCGTGCCTGTGCAATACGGCCAGCCAACAAGAGACGGCAGTTTGATCTATAACGCAGAATAACTGAAACAGCCGTTGAGACCGATAGCTACCTTTTTCTCTATAGACTCAAATGTTAAACAAGATCGCTTGTGTGACGTGTCTTACACATTTCTAAAGAAAACCACTCAACCCGCATTTCAAAAGAATAAGAAAAAAATGGCAAGATTTTTGATACCAAGAAAGTTATTATTAAGGATGACAGAGAAAAGTTATCGCCATTTCTGTTTCTCGTAGACAAAGCATAGAGTTTGTGCGTGGACCCGACCGTGGATCGAGGGCCCGCGCTCAAGCTCGGACTTGGACTACTAAAACTTGGACTTGGACCATACTTGGACTTCCTAACTTGGACTTGGACTTCTCAACTTGGACTTCTAAATTGGTCTTCCCCTTAGAAAAAAATAGTAAGAATAATAAACCAAAGAAAACTAAGAAAACTAAGAAACCTAAGAAACCTAAGAATCCTAAGAATCCTACGAAACCTAAGAGCCCTGAGATACTTACGAAACCTAAGAAAGTCCAAGTTGAAGCTTAGAAGTCCAAGTTCTAAAAGTCCAAGTTAAAAGTCCAAGTTTTAGCAGTCCATGTCCGAGTTAATTGTGGTCCAAGTCCAAGTTTTCGTAGTCCAAGTCCGAGCTTGAGCACGGGCCTGGATCGAGGTCTCATACTAAATCTATGAGACTCGGGGTCTGCCTCAGCTGAGGTGTCCAGGAATAAGGTCTATAGTTTGCACTTGTGAAAGTACACAGATTCTCCCTACAAACAGAACTTATCGTGAATGGCACAATCTTTACAAGCTGGTTTTTAATTTTTCAAGTTGCCACTTTTTATCGCTTGCCAGAACGCGTAGTGGCAGCTGCCACTGCCGGTGGCAGTTGCCAGTGGCAGGTGCCACTGCCACCTTTTATCCCCTGCCAAGGTTACGGCCCAAATGCGGTTGACGGTGATGAGCATGTGGCTGTGCGTAATCGCAGAGCTGATGACGTATTCCATATACACATAGTAAGTACAGGCGGCGTACCCGAACGGCCATCTATCGAACAAGGTGATCGCGACGTCCAGCGGTCCAACTGCTAGTAAACGCAACAAGTTCGCCAGTATCAGGTTGATGAGATAGATGTTGAACGGTGTGTAACTCGAATTCGCCCTTAGAAACGCTAGCAAAACTATGCAATTTGTTATGCCCCCAGCTGCAGTAATGATCAGAATCCAGACTGGAAAGGCGCTCCAGTTTAGTGCAGCTTCCGAAATTTTGAATGTTGGCATGACTGAAATGTTCGCTGCGGGCTCGGTTCTGTTCATTTTGTTTATCTCGAGGGTTTTACGTCTTACAACGGAGTTATGCAGACACAGACGCAAAACACTGAGACGATACTGTCTTGACAACAAGCTGTAAGCCAGAATGATAAATATTCGCTTGCTGAAATACAGATTAAGGCTACGAAACGCTGTTTACGTCTATGCAACCTTCTTATGCAGTCACAGACTCACAGGAAACAATACTGCCCGCATGCACAAGCCTTTGTTAATTGTAAACACTGTAGCGATTTCATAAAATTTAATGACAAACACCTGCCAGATGTCGTAAAGAACGTTGCCGTAAGAACCTTCCATGGATTGTCTGACGGAAATGTCACTTGAACCGGATGAGCGACGGATGGTTGCCAATGTCATCCTTAAAAGTTCCTGAAATAACACTTGTTGAACCGAGTTAACTCGGGGATTATTTAGGATAATATCTGCAAAAGAGCGCTGTATCCCGGAAGTGCGAGTGCATGACCTTCCTTCTTGGTCTTTGCTAATCTTTCCAAAGCATCTAATTAGGGGTGCAGTTTTACTGTGGTGCATTGACCAACATGGGACATATCGACAACAAAGAGTGCCGCAAGCTGGTGTAACATGCACATACCTACACAGTCAGATTGTTTTGTTGTTGTTCAGTACAGCAGAAGCGTAAGCCAAATTTAACGGTCGAACTGCTTAGATGTAACTCCATGTTGTGGCGAAGTAATTGCACCTCGGCTGTATGATTATCCAGCCCAGGGAGTGGTTAGAATATTGTAATACTCTGTGGATGAATCCATTGAAAAAGTTTGACCGTTTGAGACTTACCATTGTATGACAGCATGACACTGCCTGCGGAGCGCCATCAAAGGTTGATTGAATAATTTCGTTTACGAAAAACGGTTTACTTGCATCACGCTAGGTAATACTGGAGAGTGGAGATATTCGAAAGCATGTTTCTGGCTGTTTATCGCTCTTTCCTCAGCGCCCTGTTTCACCATCGTACATGTTGTTAGTGATAATATTTGTACGAGCGATAAGACCACCCAGTTATGATTCATTCCATCGCGTTATGAATTTGTGTGCACTTTACCGGGTACTTCTCCTTCTCATGAATTTCTAGAATTCAGTCTTGTTCAGCTTGCTACAGCTTGCACCATCTACTTGATCAACTTGTCCTAAACTCTTGCCCTAAACCTTGCTCCGTTTCTTGAACGCCTTGTCATTAAACATGCCTTGAGTTACGTTGTTGCGTTTGACCGCTTGGGATGAACCTGTGTCATCCCAATTGGAACCACCGGTGCAATTGTGTCACATCAGTAAGAGCGTCCTCGGCCAGCATCGTTGCCGGCTGTGCCACCTTTTATCCCAACAGCCGCATAATCGTGGTAAAGACTGATCGTCACCCCACTAGAAGCTAGAGCAGCCAGATAGGCTGTTGTTGCAATATGTAGTCATCTTCCTCATACCTTTCTGCATTCGCATCCCTAAAAACAAGGCTTCCGCGATCGAGAAAATGGCAGAATATATACAGATAGTTTGCTACTACGCTAATAAAAACTGCTTAGCCGCGTTTTTGGAACTGATTTAAGCGTTTGCCACAAGGGATCGGTCTGGTTGTCTTGGTTAGTCCTATACGGAAATGGAAACATCCAAGCTGCCGCAGGTGGATTGAGTTTCCTAACCACATCGCAAAACTTGTTGGTCTCACAGGGTTACATAGTGCCACTGCGACCAGAAAATTAAATCTACCTGTATTTCAATGTACATCTACCCAAATCGCAGCGGGCAGCAGGTGCGTCTGAGTGCGAACAGGAAAAGCTTGTGCGTGTCCTGTTTCACAGGCTATTCCTGTTTCCTGTAAATGTGTGCTGAAAGGGAATGTCATTACTGACTACCGCATCATTTAGTAGTTTTTCACCTCGTGGGCGCGCACATTTTTTCACGGTCTCCTCCGAGTCGACAGGTTTAAACGATGTGGCTTGCATTTATTTCCAAAACGCTCGGAGATGACATTGTTAGAATGTACAAGTAGAGCTAAAACTGTATCTAGCCGAAGAAGCGACGAGGTGACATACGATTTATGCCATAGGGGCCTCGAGTTAACTTTTGTGATCCTTCCAGGAAGCGGTATTTTTGCTGTTATTTTTGTTTGTTTTTTTCAGGAAGCGGTATTTTGTTTTCTGTTTTATTTTTGTTTTGCTTTTATTTTTGTTTCTGTATTTTTGCTTGTTTATTTTTGTTGTTTTTGTTGTTTTGTTTTATGTTTGTTTTTTGTTTTAACCACTGGGAATCTTTACGCGAGGTTCCCAGTGGTTCGGTCCCTTTGCCGCTGCGGCATCTCATATAACACAGTCATAACACGACTACATATCAAACGCACTAATGAAAGGTCAGCCGTGCGGGGTGGAAATCCCCAGAAACAGCGAATCAGCTACCTGTGAGGGCGGGCGTCCCGCCCTTACAATCAAAAACATAAAATCTTATTTAATCACAATCATCGTTACACGGCTGACCTTTCATTAGTATCCTTTTAAAATCGTTAGCGGGCGTAAAGTGTGGTCATGAACTGTCGTGTGAAATACTTCATAAAAGAACCCGTTTCTGCAGATAACCAGACCGAGAATGTGAAATCCTCCTCAGTTTTTTCAGAGCTCCAGCCACAGTACAGTAAGCCATTGGACCACAGTTAAGATCGAAAGATCAGAGCAATGACGAGCAAGCTTTGAAACAATTGCCATCTGCTTGCGCTGTAGTGACAGTGTAGTGTTATTTACTTGCTGTCTGACAGCCTGTCGTATTGCTGGTGACACATGGCGCTTTGATAACTCGAAACGATGAAGGATCTCCTAATGGAGAAACCAGCAAACTCTTCTCATTACTCGCAATGGATGGACCATATTCAGTCCGCTATTCTTCACAGCGTGCCACGCGTAATTCTGGCCCACCGTCATTCGCCGCACCAATTCATGCCACTGCTGTTTACTCGGCATCGGCAGCGCCGCCTCCAGCACATCCCACAACGCGCAACTTATATCATCGCTTGGCTGCAGTCGCTGTCGAGCTGCTCCGATTCTGACCACAAGGCGTGTCCACGTGAGAAAAGACCGCTTGCCACAATTCTACCGGTAAATACGCCATGCCCACATCATTGTCAGTAGGAGACGTGATGATTGATCATGCTGAAGAGCGCGTTACGGAAAAAAGCACAGGTTCGCTGCAGACCGTACTACACAGGTATTAACTCGTGACAAATCGCAGCAAGTAACGTAACAGCTGCCCTCGTTATTCAAACTATTTTTTACCGAAAACGCTTTCTTGGACAAAGTGGTTCCTTCTCCCAGCTGGGAAATGCATTCCAATATCCCCTTCACGTATAATGCCGTTTATATTACATGACTAGAAATTCGCACAGAATATGTCAATAGCTGGAATGACAGAAATATCTCAACAAGCGCTTTAAGATAATTTCAAGTTGGCATTGTGATGGTCATCGAGATGACCAGTGGTCAAGGTCTCAGGACAATTTTAAAATGAAAAAGCACCGATATGTAACATCACATAAGTACTGCTTGGGTATTTCGGCATAGCTGGTCACTTGTACTTGTGGGCGACTCGCTTATGCACCTATGCTATACATACCGGCAACCCAGGCGCTCGCTACATTTATTTACAACTGGCTCAACACCGCTTCACAGCCAGCCGCTCTAAACACATCGAGCGCGCTTTTTATATGCGCGCGAGAAACTCATAGCTGGCGCAAAACCTGCAAGCTCACTGCTTGCATAACGCTTGCTCACTGGTCACATAACTCGCTACCAGAAACATCTAGAACATACGAGCACTAATCTCATAACATGCCTTGCGGCACACACTATCATTGTGTGTAGCGTAGCTACCACATTCTTATGTTTCGGCCAACTGGTCATCGGCCTTAATGTAGATGACGCGTACGGTAAACCGTGCGAGAGACGTGTACAAGCTTGTCCCGTAATTTCCATCGTAAAGGTACAGCTAGCGCGAAATTTGCGCTTGAAACGATGGCCACTTCACTACGTTTATCGGATTGCCTAAATGCGCTCCGCAGTTAGATTGTCCATTACTGCACCGACCGTTTTCTAACCACCTTCAGCCAGGCAGTTACTATTATTATCATTAAAATTTAATTATCTGGCGTGCACCAAGCCACCAGCCAGCCAAATGAATGTTACGTGCTTGAACAGTGTGGCGTGGCGTGCCGTAGTACGAATTTACGCGCAACACGTAAATTTGTAATGTTCGCTGTTCTGATGCGATGGACATTACGGGACAAGCTTGTACAGTAGAAGTAATGCTGCTTCCGGTCGTGCTACTGTATACGATACTGGAAAAGAAACAGGAGGTTCTATAGTTATACCTTAAGAAACCAAAAAAATAAAGAAACCCTAAAAAGTTTAGGAAACGCTAAAGATCCATAAGAAAAGTAAGACGGTTTAGTAACACGGTACCTCGACTTATTAATGGTCGAAGAATTTCCGCCAACGAAATAGCAAGTCACCAATTACGTTCTATCCATCAAGGAGAACGCTCAAGAGAAGAAGTCCCGACTACGGCTCCCGAAACTTGTTTATTTGCCACATAAATCAACAGAAAGCATGGAAAGGACGTCATCACTTAGCCGACGCTGCGTTAAAACAGAAAACAAAACAGGCGGATCGCCCATACACAACTGCGCTTTTGCCTTGTAGGTAACACATTAACCGTACAGCTGCTTCCCGACAAATCAAAGATTTTTCAGGCTAAGCTAGGGAAACCGGCTCCGCCTAGGTTCTACTAAATCCGGTGCTGACTCCATGCAAAGGATAGTGGAAAGCGATCAAATACAGCGCCTGATGGATACAGCGAGTGAAAAACCAGGAGATCATCAGCCGACATGAACAGGATGTTTGTCGTCCACGTCAGCAATGCTCTTCTCGTTAAGTACTTTCAGCCAACAGACTAAGCACTGAGACCTGTGTCGAGTCA